AGCCATAATTTCAAATACATCACCCGGAAAGATGAATAGAAAGATCCAAAGTCAACGCATGTTCACAGTCAACGCATGTTCACAGGCAATTATGACTGAGTCGTAGAGATTGTCATAGTCCCTGTCGCAATATTCTGCCATACTCTTATCTCATCCTGAACTAGGTCCTGAACTACTTCAATGATTCGTGTACAATGTAAAATTGACAATAAGTTAACATCAGTTGTCAGTAAGTCGTAGACCAGGGTTTATGCGACTCCTGGAGGCCCTGACAGTCTGCACTCACGGCGCTAGCACCTGCGGTACTTCGAAGCAGTAATCAGCTCAGCCAAGCCTAAGCCTAAGGCTAAAGCCTCTAACTACTTTCAGCATAGGAAGCAAAGCCGTCACTGCTGTTGCAACTAATACAGTAATACATGTAGTAATAGTAATAGTACCATGAATACATTTTGTAGGTGATACATGTAGTCGACATGCAGGCCATGTAATGCCACACATGAGGGAGTCGAGTCGTCGTGTATGTACTACGTAGGCTGTACCGTGCACAGAAATATGTACCGTCACTGTCCTTTCATCGACAAGCGACGCGATGCAGCGCTTGCAGGGCCACTTGGCCCCTCGTTAGCTTCCTATTTCGGGTGCGGACTACATTGTTCCGACAGCTAAAAATAGCTGCGGTGGTTGCGTGGGTACATATTTTGTCAAATGCGGGGGCCTGCAAGGCTGCAGCTAACACAATGCGAGATGTTCGTAGTCAGTGTGCGTCACTGCGTGTATGCGTGTACGTGTGTGAGCATGGTGTGTTGTAACTGGGGGCTTGGGCACAAGGGGCTGCGTGGAACAGATCCTGATGAAGCGAAGTGGTAGTGCCAAGTAGATCTACTGGTATTAGTGGTAACCCTCCCGGGGTCCAGGCCAGCTAGCTGCTTGCAGATCAGACCCGTAGGCCGTGCCTATTGTAGGCTGAACAGAACTACAATTATGTACAGACATGAATCTGAATCTTTACTTACGGTAGACTCTACTTGCAAACTCAAAGAAAAGAAGCGCTTGTGTACGGCTAGCGCCAATAGCGGGGGGCAAATACAAGACTTTTACAACAGTTACTGTACCAACCAGAGCGAGCGGTGTAAAGTATACCAAGTGTATTGCTAGTGTGTGCATGTGCAATCCATGCAGCAATCCATGCAGTATTCATAGTATTGCTGTTGACATGTGCATGTGACTACGTGCACACTCTTTCAGCAAATGCCGTTACCTACAGTCGACTTCTTTCTTATACGATGTACTATTTTGTAGATTGTAGTAAGTATTAGTTAGTTTAGTCGCGTGGAAACCGACATCAGGCATCGGCATTCCGACAAGTACAGGTAGAGATCAGCTATAGCCGGGCTCGCGGTAGCCCTTGGCGGATTTTGTCTAAAAATTATGTCCTGGCATACATTGTGAAAGGACTTCTGAGACGAGATGGTCGGCATAACCGTACGATGCTGGCTGAGGCATACATGTATTTAGGCATGTTTAGGAAATAACCTGATGAATGTTACCCCGTACAAGTACAATGTACCGGTACATGACTGTATCGTCTATTGTGATCAAATAATTTTCTAATTCACACTTCAAATTCAAAACCACGCATACATAATCATTATGGATCGTTACCTACATGTAGGCTACAGGAAGCTTAGTTTGGGAGATTGTGTAAAATGCTGTGTAGATCTACTACCAGCAGTTTGGTCATGTACAAGTAGATGCAGGTTGTTATTTTGTCCTTACAAGTCTCGGTATGGTATTGCAGCATGCATGATTCACGTCTGTTTATGTATGTAATGATCAGACCACACTTCTTCAAATACCAACGCTATACAGTAACAGCTCTCTACTGGCATTGCATTGTCTATTGCGACGATGTATACGGGGCCGCTCACGTGCTCTTCAAACTGTTCTGACTTCTGAATTATTAGTGAGTTCTGTTGATTGCTGTTCGATCATAGAGATTGTCTGAGAGTTGTCTGCATCGCAAGTGCAAGTGTCATGCCCTGACTCCACCGTGAGAGATGGTTTGACCATAGCAACAATAACAACAGCACTTGAAGTTGAGCAGCGGACCATCGTCATCGGCAGGTAAATAGACTAGTGCTGAGCCTAACTTACTGCCTAAGTGCACCGATATCGACATGTAGTCAGCGCAACTGCTTGTAATGATAAATTGCTCGACCAAAGTGCGCCATGTGGAAAAGCGCGCCGGTGCGTTACACGAAAGAGCTGAACTGCCAGAAGACCAAGGCCCCGCGCCACTAGCAGCACTCGTACCGCAACTTCCGCAAGAACACTTCAGTCGTTTGGAGGATGGCTGTGGTCACACATGGTCACCAGGCCAGGGACTACAAAGTAGATCTACAATGTCACCTTGAAAGTAATAGTTAGTTGAATGTGGATCTACTCCCTGCAGTACAGGTGGCGTGGTGGTCACTGTTGAGGGGGAGGCCGCGGGTTCGTGTAGTAGCCGCGGTGGCAACTGAAATCCGACCCCTGATATGCGTGTTCGAGTGCGGCACCAATTCTAGCGGTCTCTATTTCGTAGCGCTACCGTTACGTGCTGGGTTTTTGCAGTGATGTGAGCGCACCGCTCCAGGCCAGGGCAGAGGTACGGGTAGTTTACCAGCACTTTTGTCTTCAGCGCCTCTCTTCAGGAGGCTGAGGGGCCTAGCTACTCCTTCAGAATGAAACGAGTCTTTACGTGTGTGTGGGGTGGGGCGGCACCTACAGCATGCGGACTTCATCCGCTGTAGACAAGACCCTTTTTGGCCGGAAACTATGTTGGTTGACTTAGTCCAAGGAACTAAGGCCGGTAAGGGCCAGTTACTGGTACTTGTGACAGTAGTCAGCATGGCCCTGAAAAGAGCATACAGTGGAACCGCATACTTGCGACCGCCTTTCGGACTGGGCAAAGCGGCAAGAGTTCCTAACCCCCAATGGTTAGGAGAGTTCCTAACCCCCAACCCCCAAGGGTTTAATAGGAACTCTTGAAATTTTAATTTTATTTCACCGCCCAATGGCAAAAGCCAATGCAAAGGAGGAGGCATTAGCCAGTCATGGCAAGAGAAGGAAAAAGAAAGAAAGAAAAGGAAAGAACATAATAATCGGAAGAAAAGACCTAGCAATGCGGTGGGATTGGCGAGTGGGTCATCACAGTGTAGTGAGATGGTCGGAAAGCGAGGTTCCACTGTTCATCACTACGTACATAAACAAATCTACTATTGATGGAATTACGAAGGTAGTGTTTGCTGGAAGGGCTGGGGAGAAGCTACGTGTACATGTATGTTCATTTTGAAAAATGGCATGGCGATAATAGCGGACAACCCCTTGACATGAGTAAAGTACAGGTCAGACCTCGCTATGACGACCGTCATTATAACATAAACCTCGCTATAACGTACAAAATGCAAATGCCTCTGTCGAAACCGCACCGCTTCTGTACAACATTTCCTCACTATAACCTAATCGGCTATAGCGTAATTTTTCAACACATGCAGTAGACACATTAGAACATATACGCATTTCGAGAGTTCATCAGCGCTACTGTATACAGTTGTAATTAGTAAACAAAGAGCGTCATTTTGACATACATGTACATGTTGCACTCCCTACTAAACACCCCAGGCAAGTGGTTGTCAACCTGCATGCAGCATATCTGAGACTACGGCTTGTGGAGATGCTGCATTTATTGATGTGCACATATGCACCAACTCAATAGAAAACGTTACAACAAAAATAGTCGATTGAATAGAACGCTAGATTGAATGTCTCCGTGAGCTAATGTAGTGAGAAACTTCCGTTCAAGATCTTTTTCCAGCAATGCACAGCTGCAGCAGGACAGACTGCAGCGAGAACAAACACGGTGAATAATAATCAACACCAGCAACTGTACGAAAACACGGCTCAGCACACAGTGTGCATGGCTGCGGCGGCAACTGAGGATTCTGGATAGACTGCACAGGCTGTGTGCACATCAGAACTGAGGATTCTGGATAGACTGCACAGGCTGTGTGCACATCAGCTGGCAGAAATACACGCGCATGCACAGGCACAGGACAAGAAAGGTAACAAACGTTCACACCATATCATGTACAGAAAGATCTCGTGGACGCGGTCGCAGTAACCTGTTAGCAACATGAAGAATGTACAAGAAAACTAGAAACTGGAAGAGAGCGAGAATTTGCAGAAAAAGGGCCCTTTTGTTCGCAAGTGCAAAGAGGCGATTAAGCAGTGAGAAGATGCAGAGACGCACAGAGAGTCTGCAGACAGCAATAGATATAGCGCAGCGTAGCACCTCCAAGTTCGTGATGATCGTAAAAGTATAAAAAGGGGTTAAAAAGACAAGCATTCTCAAGGAAAGGACGAGGCTGGCTGCCTGGCCAGGAACAGTCATGCTGGCCAGTAGCCTACTGGTCCTTCTTCTTGATCAAAGCTTGCACCCAGGGCAGCTGAGCACCGAAGATGCGCTGTGCCACTGCTGCATAGATCTCACAGAGGAATTGCTCCCAGACGAGCAGCGCAAAGCCATCCACCCAGGCACCGATGTCGCGGTATTGGCCAGAGTAGCGCACGTACGACCAGGCAATGATCATGATCGCACTGATCCACCAGATGTAGTCGACGAACTGGTCCAGCTGGAACAGGTAGAATGTCTCAAAGATGTAGCCCATAAGATGCGTGACGATCAGCAAAACGACAAGAGTGGCCGGCGTGCGCGCCGCATTGAACACGTTCTTGTTATTGTTGCCGGCAACAAACTGTGTGTAGGCCTCCTCAATCTGCACGCTCAGCTTCTCCTCGTACTCGTCGGTGAACTTCTTCGAGCCCATCTTCTTGGTGGTGCGGAACACATTCAAAGCCTTCTCGCGTTGTTGGTCGTGTGCTTCTTCCAGGTCGGTAGGTGCCATGAAGGGCTTCTCGGGACCACAGATCTGTACAAACAGAACATGCAAATATGAAGTGATGCTTGCATGAAGTTCCGGATTGCAGGACGTAGAGCAGGGTTGAAAATCAATGTTATATCGAGGTAGGCACATGTGCACAGACTGCACAGTCACGCAAGGAGCATTCATCAAGAAAAGCATGTGACAAGTCGTTAATTAATGCCTGAGTACTAACCTCTTTCATGCCATTGCGGTACATTTCCATCGCGGTGTTCACAGCTGTCATGTTATTCGCCTCCGCCGTTGCCTGCAACAAACACAGGAAACACATCACGGCAGTCGTTCAGTAGCTGCCACAATTCTCCCTGCGTCAGCAACACGGGAGCCGACTCCCCTTACTCCTAAACTTTGCACACGTGTATAGCTGCAAGGCTTGACAATGACACTGGGCATGCTGCTGCTGCACAGGAGCGCAACCCGGGGTCTATTCATGGTTCCTGGCTATCTTGATTCTGCATGCCAGGTATCGGCTTACACTACTGTATAAGTACAAATTTTTGTTTACGAAATCTTCCGTTAGATCACTCCACCAGCATGTTCATTACGCACTAAATTTCGTTTTTGATCGAGGTCTGTCACCCCGAACGTTCAGAAAAAAACTTAAGTTATTTTGCGCCCCCTAACGAATACAGCGAAAGTTAATTCCAAACGAAACTTTGTACTTATACAGTAATAAAGTCTGCTTTGTGACAAAAGGGGTGGAAGTACAATGTAATGGTTCCTGAGTATGCCGTGACCCAGTCAGCCTACGCGCCAGCATAACAAAGTAGCTACACAGCAACGACAGGTGCACTGTCTGAATCACAGCCAAGACGCAAGCTGTAGCAAGTGCAGTGCCGCTGTTCAATAAAGAGGCCACACTCATGAATAGGTTAGCAGCCCGTACCAGCGCACAGTCTAGTGTTGGCAGGTCGGGGTCCGCACAGCGCTCGGTACTAGCGGACTCACACTGCCCGGGTTTTATTGAGCAACACCATAGCTTACCTCCAGCATGGATTTGGGCTCGGGAAGATCTTCACCGTTGTAGATTTTCATGTAGGCCTAGAGAAGACGAGAGGAGAATGAGAAATCAGCCAATGAGTGACACATGATACGCATACTGGTACATGTACTGGCAAACACCAGTAAATACCATCCATTAAACAAACCAGTACTTACCCCCCCCCCCCCCCCCCCCCTGCAAGTTGTACCACCTCAGGTTAGCAGGTCAGGTCATTTCCAGTGCTCTGGCCGGATTCTTAGTCACCTAGAGCACCAGTGATCAAGCAACAGTATTCACTCCACGAGCAACAAGTTGCCGTCAGATTATGTAAGGTACTCCGCTGAGACAGGTGGGATCCCCACGCGAACATTTTGTACTAGAGGATGGTAGACCTTTTCGGAGCTATGCCTTCAAAGCCCTTTTTAGCCATTTTTCTTGTTGGATGGTAACCCATCGTGCCATTTTTGTAAGAGTAAGAGAAGTGTATAGTTATGTAGTATGTCTGCAAATATGTCTGCAAAAGGTAGTTCTAACCTAAGCCGCGGTTCAGGCACCCCTACCGCTTTGGAGTCACGTCGGAGGAAGGCGATCACCCCTCCCGCTGCTCTGCGCACAACTACTGGAGGTTCGACCAGTGATGCGTTATCCTCACGAAACGAGGCCCCCGTGGACACGACGAAAGAATTTAGGACGTATTAGGTCGGAGTTGTTAGACGAACGGCGGGCAAACTTGGTGCCTCGGGGTGTAGACCTAACCGCGAAGGCGTCAGCTTTGAAGGCAAGACTTGGTGAGCTGGAGCGGGAAAAGACGAACTTGCCGCTACCGTACGGTTTTTGACAGAGGACACCAGCAGTAGTAGTACGGTGCACTGTGGACCAGTTGGTGTATCATTGACCGAGGACGCGGCAAATGCAGGGTCAGTAGTGCAACTGGAACCATACAACCTCCCCGACATCATTGCAGAGGAGGTTGAGAGGTCAAACCGTACGACCAGCGTCATAGTACGAGGACTGCCTGCACTGTGGAACGAAAACTTGTCCGTACATTGTAGTACTCTTGTCAAATGCTGGACCTCTGACCTGCTGGAAGTTGAACATTTGCGCCCTCGCGGTGCAGAGCATGCAACTCCAGCTCCAGGTCCAGCTCCTGTCAGGGTACGCTTCGGAAACAAGCACCTCAAGGCGATGGCGTACAAGGATCGCCTCAGCTTGAAAGTGGATGGACGCGATGTGTACGTGAACAACGACATGACCAGACAACAGCAAACGAAACAGAAAGCAGTACTACCTAAGTATAAGCAACATCGAGCCAAAAAGGTCAAGTGTTCTCTGCCTTACGACGCCATATTGGATGACAAAGGGGCACCTTTCTCTCTCTCTGACGAAGCTATCCAGGATCTGCTGTCTACCCAATAGGACATACCAGGGAATTCCCGGCCAAACAACTATGCCGTCCTCAAAGTTGCCCATATAAACATCTGCAGTCTACGAAGCAAAGTTCATGAGATCCATCATATCCTGCGTGCCAATAACATTCACATCATGTCCATAAATGAAATCTGGCTAGACAGCTCAGTATCAGATTCTCTACTACACATCCCTGGAGTTAGGATACCGGTATATCGGAAGGACAGGAACTTGAGGGGCGGAGGCGTGTGCTTGTACGTCATGTCCAGTCTCCGCGTTCGTCCCATCATGCCCGCATCCAACACACATTTGGAGTCGTTGTTTGTATCAGTTTGCATTGCACGGGAACCAGATGCGTGTAAGCTCCTCGTGAGTTCAGTTTACCGCCCACCGAGCCCTCTTTCTCTCTGGTACCCTGGCGAGAGGAATTGTACCAAGTGGATCCAAAAGGCGAGCAGAAGCTAGCTGGCCATCCACTACCAAGCCAGCACGAATCAATGGGACGTGATTGTTTGCAGCAGAAAAGTCATTGAGTAGGCATAGGCAGTTTCAACACAAAAACAGTTGCACAACGTGAACAGCCAAGACTTGAATATGGTTGGCTTGGCGATTCTTCCACTGCATGCACTTAGGCATGGGGAAGGGTACAGGAAAAGTGTGTCTGCATCCAGGGATGAGTATTCGGCTGCAAAGAATGAAGAACATACTCTGATCTCTCACTGCCGGCACAATGTCCTTGACCCCAGTACATCCCCCCTCCCCAATCCCATACAATAATTATAATAATGTGCAGCATATGTTGGCAGAAACACAGGTCATCAAAGCTTACCCGGAAGTACTCCAGGAGTCCACTGCCTGTAACTTTGGAGCCATTGATTTTCTTTATGACAAGGTTCTCTGGTGCCAGTAGCTGAGGAACAAGACTATTTAGCTGGACTTTGAACTCCTCATCGATATCTGCATGAACAACAGAGAAGAGGATCGCACAGGACAGTAGCCATTAGGCGACTTACTTAGTTACACTAGTACCGAAGAACTAAACTATGCATATGTTGGTTTGTCTCTCTCTCTCTGTCTCTCTCCCTCTCTGTCTCTGTCTCTCTCTGTCTCTCTCTCTCTCTGTCTGTCTCTCACACACACACACACACACACACACACACACACACACACACACACACACACACACATCGCCACAAACAACAACGCACTCCACAGAACAGGCAAGCAAAACTTGTGCTATGATTTACCGGACAAGCATCCTTTGAAATCACGCTGTGTGGCCACCTTGAGACCTGGATGTGGCATAAGGAAGCACGAGACTTCCTCGAAGCAGGCACGTATGTGCTCGCGCACACTTCGTAGCTGCTCGTGCTGGGTGTCTTTGATCTGCATTGATGTTAACATACCCGCAGACATACACACACCCATCATAACAACAACAAATCCCGTAGAATTCAGAGTTCGGGCAGCTTGCGCCTGCTCAAGGCCACATTAGGCTCAAAACTGGAATCTAATCTGGCCAGAAATAGGTTTAGGACCCGCCAGCAAGTCTGCGCATTGATGGATACTAAATCTGTTTTGAATATGCCATGTCCAGCCGAAAACCTCATCTCCCTATGGCTTGCTCCATTTCGGAAAGAACTCAAAAGGAACTGCAGTGAAATGTACCTAAGCCAACCGGTCAAGAGCCCCCCCCCCCCCCTGAACACGATCACCGTGTAATTCAAAGCTCAAGTGGCCAACGTCATTTTGGCCCTGGCTGTATTGGTGCTCTGAGACAGTTGGCTGCATGACAAGAGTGCACCCCCCCCCCCCCCCCGACAAACTTCACTGTAAATCAAGGCCACTCTACAGGATCTGTGCAAAGAAATTAGAATTTTCTCAAAATAGTTTCGGAGACAGTAACTCAATCAAGGCTATGAATAAGGTTAGATGTGCCGTCATCACCAAACACATGCCACAAGGACGTCCAATGTAAAGCAACCATAATGTTTTCTTGTGACAATCATCATTTAAGTGACGGAAACCACTGATGATTGTCACAAGAAACCGTTATGGTTACTTTACATTGGACTTCCTTGTGGTGTGTGTTGGTGATGACGGCACATCTAACTTTATCCATAGCCTTGATTAATATCTACTGTTCCTCTAAGTACAGATCGACCCTGGCTCATCGTCCTCAGCACTGTGTCGGGAACGACAGCGCTGTTTCCACTGACAGCCACCCAACTTGACCCCCCCCCCCCCCCCCAAACACACGTAAAAGTACTCTGAATCACTTCCTTTTGAAGTATGATTGTGTACATCATATGCACGCACACCAGTGCAGTACTGTACCTCCAGGGTTGTTGCTAGGTATTTTTCTCCTCCTTCCCGGCCGTTCTCATATTCATACCCATAGCTCCAGTCACGAAGCAGAAAGTGAAGGCCCTGTGAGAAATTACACAGTACAGAAGAGACAACAATCAGCGCAAATTTACCGCACCACATTAACTGAACCAATCGGCTGGAAGGTTGCACGTGTAAACAATCCACGATTCTATATCTCCTGCATTAATTCAGTCTTGAAACGATGCCAGTGCGAGTAGACTCTCTACAGTCAATGGCTGAACTCCATGCACGCAAGTAGTAGGACACTAACTCGACAAGCCACAAGTCATACATGCCTACTTTCAATATTTTCGCTCCTTGTAAAAAACCACCGCACGACTTTGGGCACATATTTCTCCCCTGCATAAAGTTATAAACCATGCTCTACTTCATCTCACAACAGCTTCCTGAGGGCATGGACTTATTGAAACATCAATAATATCAGTATTCATCAGAGACAGACAAACAACAGATATATAGATAGATAGATACTCAATCTGCGGACAGCATGCTGTAGATAGATAGATAGATAGATAAAAACACTTTCTCTGTCCTCCTATTGTTTGAACCAGCTCTACCACTCGGTATTGAGCACTCTCTTGGACAGCCTGGAACCTCTCTGTTTTATAGATAGATAGAGTGAGTGTGTGTGTGTGTGAGAGAGAGAGAGAGAGAGAGAGAGAGAGAGAGAGAGAGAGAGAGAGAGAGAGAGAGAGAGAGAGAGAGAGAGAGCAATGGAGTCAGCGCCAGGAGAGGGAGTTGACTTGCACAAACCACCGATCCCCAAGGTGAGCATCGTGGCAGTTTTGAAGTACATGTATCGTACTATCTGCTGGACTTGGTCTCCTCACCTGGAATGGAGTGCTATCTCCTTCTTCCATGGCAAGACGACCATACTCTGTAAACAGCTGCATGCACAAAAACATCACAAGAATTTCCACATCAGAACAGCGCAGTCATAAACTGTACACCAACATGCATGTTCTTGTTACCCAGCGTTGGCACAATCAAAACAATGCTGCAAAGACGAGAACAAAACAGGTGAATAATATGCCGACAGAAGTCCACTTATGACGCCTTGTATGGCCGGGTGATTATTTGAGTTGGACATTTTAGTGTGAAATGTCAAGCACTCCTATCCTGTCGTCAAAAATGCACAGTAGAACGTTTTCTTCATTTTAATTGATACTCTCTTGGGTGGATGGGGGTTGAAACCAGCGTGGGTTAAAACACACCGTGTACCACTCCAGTCATTCTGCTTTCATGGTGGGTAGAAACCTCAAATAAACACAGAATAAGTGCATGCAACAGAGAAGTGCAACAGCGGCAGCCTACCTGCAGATGCTGCAGATCGTTCTCGTGGATCATCTGCGACAAGTTGTAGACCTGCACGCTGCTGACCATGGTGCTCATGGCGAACACAGTGGCGCAGTCCTTGACGGTAGACTGGTTGTCAAATGCACCCTGCGTGTCCACTATCAGTACGACCACCTACCCATACAGGAACACAACAATGGTATTCACTCAAAACATTGGAAACACAAACACAGAGGAGAAGATGTGAGCGGATGGCCCCATGGGCAAGGCGACTACTCTACTCAAGGAAAGGAAAAGTCGAGAAGAACCACACGTGGAAATAGCCAATGGCGTAATCTTATGTGGAACTGAGTATAATCCACACCTGGCAGACGGATATGGTCAGACCCAGAGGGTGAGAGCAATTCCACTACTGCCTAACAAACCACAGACTCAAGTGCAAGTCACATGTTCCTACACTTGAAACGAAGCGGCGTATGCTGCTTACACACACACATTTTCAAGCAACCATGCACACATATTCATAAACATATTTACACACATATTCACACACACCATTTGACCATTTGAGGCCCATCTCCAGAGGCGATGATAACGATGCTACAGCAGAAGCCATAGCAGCTTGTGCTGGGATTACACCATTCAACAATTTGCAAGGCTGAAGAATTGGCCGCCACTATTCAGCCTGGTCTACACCACCCAGCTATGAAGTGGCTTTTTCTGGCCAGTGAATCTCTACTTTTTGGTCTTGACTTTTTTTTTATTTCCCGCACACACGCACACACACACACACACACACACACACACACACACACATCACACCACATGCTCCTGCATGCACTGGCTGTTGGTAGCCACCCAGGAGAATGAAAGAAAAGTCAGGAGGAGTCGGAGAAAGAGAAGAAAGACATGTGTGACCATAATCGTCGGGAATCGAAACCGCAACATCTCGATTGGAAATCGCTGCACATACCACTGCACCTATGGGACACACACACACACACACACACACACACACACACACACACACACACACACACACACACACACATACACACACACACACACACACACACACAAGCAAAACAAGGAAGCACACCTCTTCGCCAGTTGGCAGAGTCCTGAAAAAAGGCTCGCTCCACATCAAGACTCCCATTGTGTCTCGGTCGGTGCCACCACGCCAATGAAAGCCTTCCAAGTGTGCATCATCACTGCCCATCCATTCTGTTCCAGACACATCACCAGTTGGACTCTGTGCAGAAAACACACACACGTACACACGCAAACACACACACACACACACACACGTACACACACACACGTGCATGCACAAACATTGATAATGAAATTCGGTTTCGTTACTAGATACAGTGTACTCATGTGTCAATCTCCTTCTTCACCACATATGCCTCCGCATATTGAAGAAGATACAGCGTACTGCGTGATATTTATTATGACAATATCTCCTGACACTTAACGACGGCCAATTATTCAGTTGAGATGAAGGGTGAGAGCCAACCATGGCAGTAGGAAGTGCACACGCAGTACACCCAGGCAAGTTATGTTGTAGATCTGCCTTGCCCAGCATATGTAAAACTAGAGATGGCAACAGACTGTCCGGTACCCACCCACCCAGTACATGTGAGGCAGAGTAAGGTGCATGGGTAGATACTAGTTGAGTAGAAAATCAAGACCAAAGCTCCACTCGACCAGTTCGGGCATGAACGCTGTCGCTTCGCTTTGCACGAGCAGCTCAGTGGGAAGCGCCAGTACATTCACGGGTACGGTACAGGTGCTAGTTCCCGTGTTGAATGCCCAGCACGCCCACCAGGTCTAATACCAGCCCCCAGTGCAATGAGTGCATGCCGCCACGTACAGTGCTGCTCAACGAAATCCGGCAGAGTCACTCAGGTACACGCAGGGTGTTGCGCAGCCCTACAAGACCTGCAAACACTGGGCTGCGAAATGGTGCAAGGCGCACACTTGAGTGACGCGACTGGATTTCATTGAGCAGGACTGTAGCTCTGAATATCTGTAGCGTTGTCCAGCGCCTGCTTACATGGACTCCCTGCAATCAGTTCAACTGTAGTCTTATAAAACCCGACATGGACTTTACACCCCGCGATGAGCTCAACCCGGTCTGAGTGCACGTACACGTACACACAAGCGTTGACATTATCAACGAGTCGAACCTTGTCACGGACGTATTTCTCCAAGGCGGTTGGCTGATGACAAGTGTGCGGACACACTGCCGCTGCCCATCAAAGACAGCATAACAATCGCAATCTTCCAGCAGCTTTGGAGAAAAAGACCGGTACATAGCAGCAACGGTCACTTCCCTGCACTGGTGGAAGTCTACATCATGTAATGCACATCATTTCCCGAAACTGCTGGCACTGAAACTGTAGGTAGAACAGCGGTGTTGATTCCAGCTACCAGCGTGCCATTCGAAAGGCTATTCAGTGCTGCAGGGATGTTCTGTAGAAGGAAGAGGATAACCCTCCCCTCACAAGCTGCACATCACATTCAGGCAGTGCCAGATCCTGGCGGCTCAGCACGAAAGAAAACACGTGATAGGCCTGGCACAGCTACAAAACCTTACACGCTTGAATAGCCTGCATGGCAGACCACACGCACTGTTACCATTGGAAGACATCTCGTCCACCCCTAGGAAGGTATCCTTCTACAAGTATGTGGCCAAGGATCTGCTAAAACCACCCTTTGGTGCTATTTTGCCGAAAATGAGTTTTTGGCGGGAAGTTGGTCCCTGGCCATTGCCCAAACATATGGTGAAGTATTAGGCTCAAATTGTATATATTCATTGATATATGACCCATCTTATGAAAGCTTTTGGTCCATAAAAATGCCGAAAATAATTGATATTCACACTAGATTTCGTATCTGAGGCTTCATACACCTGCCATACACCTGTCTATGTACAGAGAAAAACTCTTTTTCACAGTTATCCAGTATTCTACTATGTATGTTCCAAACAAATAATTAGGACATTGGGTCTGCTTGGTCTGGTGCTGGGCAGGTGACATCTCTGCTCTCTGGGTGGCAGTGCTGAAGAATCTGTTGGTGCAAGTACTTTGCACGTTGTGGTGAGATTCCAGCCGTCTGGAGCGTCACTGGCAGATGATCAGATGCCAGGCAGTAATACACTTTGATAAAGGTCACGTGCCACATTAGCTTCTTCAATATGAGCTTTGAGTGCGTCAGTGTGCTTTAAGCGAGTTTCTGCAGATCTTGCCCTTACGATCTGAGACTGCAGATCGGAACATACACCGCACACATTTTCTTTTGGTCTCATAATTATCACATCACTGCACTCACTGCTCCATATTTTCAGGAATGTTGTGTATGCTGCTGTTCTTCCAGCCTTGATATATTCAGTATGCACATGCTTCTTGGTAGTAGCACATGGCACTGGCAGGTTAGTAGGAGCTGGCCTCTGGGGGCAGCAGGCTGGGGAAGTCCATTGATGTCACCATAGAGGTGGATGAACTGCCTGATGTCAGACACTTCATCTGCAGGCAGTGCATTCCAGGGCAAAGTACCCTCACATGCGTGCTGAGGGGGAGCAACAGCATGCTCCAGCACTCATACATAGACATCCACCTTTAGCTTCCACTCCTTTACATAATGTGCGTCCATGAAAACAGTCTGATCTGGCACACTTCGTCACCATCCACTTCATAGCGATGACTGTTCTCCGCGCTGCATCCGTTGTGCAATGCTTCCATGGTGAGAAGTAACTGCCCCGCGTCGTCTCAACACATCGAGCTTTCCAGCGACGTAACAGTACAGCTCCTCGTTCGTCAGTGCGAGCGCTGTGTTGCGTGCAGTGAGTTGAGTATCCGGTGACACGTTCTTGAAACAGTTGACACCGGCACAAGAGCAGCCCTTGTCTACTCGCGCCTGTACCTCTTCAACAGTACTGGGCGCCACCTGGGCACGGGATTTCTTAGGTTGGCCCTGCCTCCGGCGGCGAGGGCTTGTGCTGGCTGTAGCGCTGGCGCCGCGTCCAAATTCTCCTCCGCATCGATCGTAAGCGCGATCGGCAGGGTCACGAGCGGAGAGGCGTCGGTCGATTCGTCATCGCTCTGGTCGTCAGAATCTTGATCTGACCACCCAAAGAACGATCTTTCGTCATTTAGCAGTGCTGACTACTCCGCTGCCGAGAATCCGACAACAATTTGTGCCAACGAGCGCCTTCGCCTTCCTTCCGCCATGACTGTCACCTGCGATGATGAGAAAATCGAGACGTGCTGACGTTTTCATCATTTTCTCCGAAAAATTACACAGCACCGAAGGGTGGTTTTAGCAGATCGCGGGCCATGTGTCCTCAATTTCTAACGCACCCATCATTTCAAAATCAGGACTGATACTCCAAAAGTCAAGATGGGGACAAGTGCGATTGTACGGCCCGATGTCAGAAACTACTAAAAGAGGACCACTGTTTTCCTGCGCACTTTGGCAGCCCGAATTCACGACCGCCACTGTGACCTACCGTATTCCCTGGTTGTGCGGCAATTGCGCTCGAGGATAAGTTTGTGCCTTGTGCGGTGGCACATTACCTGCCTCCGTGGTGCCCGTGTGTCCTACGTCAGGAGGCATGCTGGTGGCGGCGCTCATAGTTTCGTCATGGAGTGCCGGGCCCGTGACCTGACTGTGACCGTCAATGTTCTGTTCACATGGACTGATTATATTTATTACTTCACTATTCAAACTGGATCCATTCTTGTTGTTGTTCTTGTTTTGCTGTTTGTTGAATGGTTTGCTTTGATTTGCAGCGGAAATGTGCTGTGTTTTATGTATGTTTGAGTGGGGTTTATTTGATCGTGGCTTTCTAGTGGTTTCTATCTCATGCTTTTCAATGTGTGAGACTTCATTCACTCATTTTCTCTTTCTTTTCTTCTTCTTTTTAGGAAATTGGATGTTTCTCGCATACCTTCATTTGCTGTTGCTTAAGGCCTTCTTTTTGATAGTTTCTGTTGCTAATTTGGATTGGATTAAAAACGATTCGCCCACTAAAGAGGAACCGTTGCTTACGTTCAGTACAGGATAGTTTCAGGCTGTAGCGTTGAAAACGCAACTCAAACATCCAATGACACTTGAAGATGCGAGTTGGCTGTTACCTCACAAGTTTCGATTTCTTTTTGTTTTAATAGAAATACTGGCATTCAACTAAAGTAGTATGCGACCTGACAACACACACACACACACACAGCATTACGCCTTACAAAGTTCATGTAGCGAAGGAAGAAGTCCAAAAGGAATGACTTCCCCTTGCGAAAAGCGCCAGCCACTGACACCACCACGACCTTCTTGTTCCTGACGTCATCGCGAAGCAGGATTTGGCCCAGAGCCTCCTCGTTGAGCTCAAAGGAATGGTCCTCTTTGGCAACTATAATCTGCAGTGGCCCAGGTGCACTCAGGGGTGCTACACCACACGAACGACACAAAACATATAATGTGTGAATAGAGAATACCTCAAGTATTTTCTTGTTTCGAATCCACCCTAAAATTCAAAAAATCCCCCCATACCTGTGTCGCTGACTTCTTCCACCATCTTTCAAACAGCCAAACCAAAGGAATACTAATCGTATCTCAGCTTCGTCCTCAAAGTCAAGAAGGAGGAATCGATCAGGGCTAGCATACAGTATTGTTACAAGTACTTGTAGATCCGAACCAAGATTTTCGATTCAAATAGTGAGTGAAATTTGCTCAGCCTCGAAAAGACGCATAGCACTCAGTGATCCCAGGGACATCAATCATACTGTACTTGTATTGGCGGGGGTCGACAGGTAGATGATCTACAACAGGTCACACATTATCATGCACATGTATGACTTTGTACATACGGACATATATCTACGTGTGAGTCACGTCATCGCACTTCGACGTCATCGCATTCATAATTCAGAACAAACTGCAAAATAATTCCGCATTTTCTGCATTGGTTTTTTCGTTTTTGATCCCTGCGCGCGCCGCGCACGGCATTATCATGTCGCTAGCATGCTTTGTGCGCACTTGTGCGGAGACAGCGCTAGCGCAGCATGGCTTTCATCAAGAGTCCATAACCCAGGGTTATGGACTCTTGCTTTCATGCATTGTCGCATACGCCGTCTACGTCTACGACCGGTCGGTGTAAAAACGCTAGCCTGGCACGATGCGAATGTAGGCCATGCTAGCGTAAACAGCATGCATGATTCTCAGGTTTTAGAGCAACAAACAACTGACTTCGATGTGATCTGAAGAGAGAGGCAAGATAACAGTAACTGTTGCAGAGTTTGTTTCTCAATATTCACTTTCCTTGCTTGGACACCTGGCCCTTAGTTCCTGTACATGTGGGCTGCTGGGAATTTCTAATAGAAGCTTATAAAATGTCGGAAAGCTATGGTGCGTGTCCTACTTGTACGGCTACGCATGATGTAGGCAACGGATTGTGTTCACGAGATGTTTTCATTTGCAACTTGTACTTTGTGCAGACTTTCTGTTCAAGTTCCTGGTGATTGGTAGTGCCGGCGTTGGTAAATCATGTATCCTGCATCAGTTCATCGAGGGCAAATGTAAGTTTGCTAGTGGTGGTTGCAGCTGCTGGCGATTTCTGGCACATGAGTACATGTGGTATGTGTGTCTGTAATTGTTCTGCTGTTTTCACTTGCAGTCAAGCAGGACTCAAACCACACTATCGGTGTGGAGTTCGGCTCTAAGGTCGTAAATGCTGGTGGCAAAGCCGTCAAGCTGCAGATATGGGACACCGCTGGGCAAGAGCGCTTCAGGTAGTGCATAGAAGTAGACTGAAGATTTGAAATAGTATCATTGACTCTGCAGCTGCTAATTGCTATCATCGCCTGACAAGAATGACTTGTGTCACAAATCCACGAAATCAATTTTCAGTTATTATTCACTGCCAGCAGTGTGCTCACCTAGTTATGTAAGTGATAGAGACAATCACTTTTGAAAAGTAATAAACGGAAACTACAGTGCTATAATTGTAACCATCCACTAATCAAAAGTAATGAAAATGTGACATGCAGTTCTGCGTTGCTCATGTCACGACACATTAGTACACCCATCATGTACACATCCCGAACACTGGTGTGCTATGACCACTGTCAGACGAACAGGGAACTGGCTGGTCTGTTGGTGGGCCTATGCCGTAAATTGTATTGGGAAAAGAGCTTGATGAATGATTTATCATGCCAGCACGGGGGGGGGGGGGGGGGGGGGGCTGTTGAGGTATCCCAAGGGTAGTGGGGCGATGTCAGCCCGTGAAACAGGTTACGTGCCGACAGTCAGTCCTACAGTTGTACAATGTACTCATGCATGTGCGCAGAAGACTCGGCTGTAATTGTATTGAGAACCCGGTGGGACCTCTTGTCTATGTTTTCGTCTTCAGGTCGGTGACACGCAGCTACTACCGTGGTGCGGCCGGGGCACTGCTTGTCTATGATATCTCCAGGTAATCTGATCTAATCATAAATAATTCTTTGTGTTGTATGTAAGCAAGTAGGGTGCTCCACTGCTTGAAGAGTGCTCGATGCTGTTAAAAGGTGGAGATTGCCTTTGTTGCCTGATGATCGTGAACAATACGAGTTGCAACCAAGCTGCTGCGTCCTCCTCCTCCTCCTCCTCCTCTCTCTCTCTCTCTCTCTCTCTCTCTCTCTCTCTCTCTCTCTCTCTCTCTCTCTCTCTGTGTGTGTGTGTGTGTGTGTGTGTGTGTGTGTCTCTCTCTCTCTCTCTCTCTCTCTCTCTCTCTCTCTCTCTCTCTCTCTCTCTCTCTCTCTCTCTCTCTCTCTCTCTCTCTGTGTCTATGTGTGTGTGTGTGTGTCTCTCTCTCTCTGTGTGTGTGTCTCTCTCTCTGTCTCTCTCGCTCTCTCTCTCTCGCTCTCTCTCTCTCTCTCTCTCTGTGTCTCTCTATCTCTCGCTCTCTCTGTCTCTCTCTCTCTCTCTCTTTCTATCTCTATCTATCTATCGGCATCTATATATTTATCTATGCTTTATGGTCGTTATGCTATCCGGCACATAGTGAAACTCGGTGTAATGTACCGCTGCGGGTGCGCTTAGACTGACATGACAACAGGCAGAATGGGACAGTTGTTATATTGAAATTTTGAAATGCTCCTGTGACGTTTCCCTGGCGAATCGGCATTTCATTGAAGTCGAAGCAAGATAATTATTCAGATTGCTTGCCAGCGGAATCAGGCGTACTGCTACATGTTTATCAATATCATAACCGCAAAGTAAAGAAGGCTGGTTTTGTAGAAAGGTTGAGTAGTAATTGTTACCTTGCTTGGGTGTGTCAGCAAAAGTCCCTGAATGTGAACTACTGTTTGCACTGTTGTGCGTGTAGTTCATGCTCTGCCTCCACTTGCGCGGTGGCTGTGTACAAATGGAGTGATGTGCTGCTGTTGTACTGGGCTGGTTTTTCTCTAATCTGGAAAAGGATTGATATCTTGTGTGCTGTTCGTTGATCCATATGCCGGTGTGCTGTACTCTGTGTGTGTCTGTGTGTGTGTGCATGCTTGTGTGTGATGCTATGCAGCCGTGAGACGTACAACTCATTAACGAACTGGCTGACCGACGCACGGACACTTGCCAGCCCTAACATTGTCATCGTGCTTGTCGGCAACAAGAAAGACCTTGAGGCTGATCGGGAAGTTACCTTCCTTGAAGCCAGCCGCTTCGCCCAGGAGAACGGTATGCTTTGCTAACTGTTATGTGAAGTATGTCTGGACCACGGTGTAAATCAATAGGACCGCGTTTGGGGTGATGACCTGTTTGGAAACGGAGTGATCTGTCTAAAGCTTTGCATTGACTGCATGATCTAGTAACACTTTATGTAAAGAAAAGCAGCAGCAGAACATGCGCACAGGTATTTCATCTCAGGTACTCGTGTGTGTGTGTGTGTGTGTGTGTGTGTGTGTGTGTGTGTGTGTGTGTGTGTGAAACGACATGCCAAGTTCTGCGCTCGTGTTCTCACGTGAACTTTCCGACATTCGCTATCATTGCGTACGCAATGGGCAAGATCAAGGTCAAGGTGTGTGTGTGTGTGTGTGTGTGTGTGTGTGTGTGTGTGCTGGGGGCGAGCGAGCGAGCGAGAGAAAGTCGAACTTAGTTGGCTACGGTTCCCTGATTTTGTCCTGTGGGATGAATGTAGTGGACAGGGCCGTGGCTAGTTGCTGCACTGCCATGAGTGCACGGCAGAAGGTTGTACAGGACGTGCAATTTTATGTGCATGTGTGTTGCTGCTACATTTTCTGTTGTGTCTATGTTGCATTTTCTATGGTATGTTCTTGGTGTGTTCTTGTAGAACTGATGTTCCTGGAGACGAGTGCCCTGACTGGCGAGAATGTCGAAGAGTCGTTTCTCAAATGCGCAAGAACAATCCTCAACAAGATTGAATCAGGTACTTGTAGACGTTACTGTAATAGTGTGCTACAAACCAAGCTGTGATTTGTGGATGGAACTACATGCACATGTACATGTACTTGGTCCGTTTCATCGCAATTGTCGCTTATCTCCCACGCACCTTTTGACAGGTAAAACCCAGTCCGATCTCGATATCTAACTTACATTCGTTTGGGAGGTTGTGATGGCAAGATCAAAGGAGACCAGAAAGAAAAAAACCATCGCGACTAGTGCCAGTGGCATCGCGATTCATACAATTTTGATGGGAAAGTGAGAAACTTTTCGCTGCAGTGAATTGCCTGCAGTGAATGCACACATTCACTGCAGCGAAAAGCCAAGCGCAGCTCAAAGACTGGAACTGTAGCAGGGGAAATCGACATCCTGACCTGGAGAGCGTGACACTGACAGTCAGGGCCAGGCCAGCCAGCTCAGTTGTTTGAACTGCAATGTTTGAACTGCAATGACCTGGTATTCTTTGCAAGCCTACAAACTGATGGCGAGATGGTGGCAAAGAAGACATTGTCCGACCTGGCAGCGGCAGTACAAGAGTCGTGGTCAGCGTATCCAGCAGAGCGTATGACAGCTGTCTGGAGAGGGATGTGTGCCTGATTCAAAAACATTGTTGAAACACACAGTACTGCCCACGTTCCTCCGGCCAAAGTGACAGCCCCGACTGTTCCTTTCCCATCGCTGCTATACGCCAAGCCAAGCGGAGAAAGCAAGAGATACTCTACACCAGCAGCTATACCAGTGAATGTCAGCTCAAGTGGCATCAGCTCGAGTGATACAGAGCCAGAGTCGATAAACTAAAGCGTGAGTGCAAGAAGGCGCTCCGTCGCTGTTTTCTTTTGTACATTTTTTTGTAACCTTGCTTCCTTTCTTCGACTTGCTTCATCAGATTCCATCGCTGAATTTATTTCTTGTGGCGGACAGGAATCCTGTATCATGCTTCTTCACTATGCGTATTGGAAATTTTACAGAGCGGTAAAAAACTCCTGTTCTTAGTTGCGATAGATAAGCGACAATTGCGATGAAACGGACCAAGTACATGTGTCTGAAGTATGCCGCCCGTTAACTGTAACTATGGTAACTAATTGTGTGGCTGCTTTTTCAGCCTTTTTTTTTACTCGCGCCAACTGCAAGTACATCGTTTGAAAATGATAGTGTCCAGATCTCCCTTTTTGGGACAAAGGTATCGTTATCTACGTGAAACTTGTCGATTTTTGGAACCGTCTGTACCGCAACGAGTCGTACTTCTGATCAGTATCCTTGATTTACTTGGTGCATCAGTAGCACTTCACCATCTTGGGAATCGACTGGAGTGTGGCTACCGTGTACGGCTTTCCTCGGCTTCGTCCACTGCATCCTAGAACGCATACGCTGTATTCTGCTATACCGGGTTGAATTGAACCTATATTATTTGAGCAATGTGGTACATGTATTTTGCATTCAACCAAGTTCTCAAGACCCATCGAGCATGATCTGCAAGTGACGGGATCGATGATGATATAAACATGAAAATGGCCGTGTAGCTTGGTGAGTTATGTTGCTTTTTGTCCTCTTTCTTGTACTTTTGGGCTTTTAGCAAATAAGATTTATATGTGTGCTTGGGGGGAGGGGGCTGACTTAGCGCGGGTCAAGTGCGATACTGTACAATGGTGTGGTGTGCACGTCAAGTGGTCTTCATGACTGCGTAGTCCGTAGTACACACCCGCCGAGTGGTTGGAAATACAAGTACATTACCGTGTGCTGAATAGGATCTGGTTTGAAGGCTGTGTATTGGCAAGTTCCATGCCCGACATGCGATTCTACTGAAATTTTTCATAGATATGTGTCACTGTTGTAACTTGCTGTAAACCCGGAATCGTTTGCGCCCGTTTTAGTTCGCGAATTGCGATGACAGACCATATTGCGCCTGCAAACGTTTGCGATTGGAGTCAATTTGATGATTGACTCGAGTCTACAGTTTTGCGTTTCGCGCCCACTTACATTCACGATTTCGCACCCATCGTGAAAATCGCGAGCGTTTCGGGATCGCAAAAGTTTCTGGGTTTACGGTAGTAAGTGTCCTATCGTCCCTTCCAATGAGAGACAACAGACGAGAAATGTTGGCCCCTACAATGTGTGAGCCGGGGGGTATCCATTATTGTTATTTTACTTCAACAGTAGCTTTGCGCTGTCTAGTAGCTTCCCTGTCTTGTTGGGGATAGTGCAGGTAGGGCATGTAGCTGGTAAGCTTCTTCTTGGCTTAGACTACACCAAGAGAGAAGTTAGTACAGTCGTCCCTCTCTAATCCGGCACTTTATAATCCAGCACCCTCGATAAACCAGCACAATTTTCAGTAGCCAAAATGTCCTCTTCATGCACATTGCAGTAGTAAATCAGATTTGTTAATCCAGCACCCTCCCTAATCCAGCAGATTTTCGTGGCACAAATGGTGCCGGATTATAGAGGGACCACTGTACTGCCTTTCTTTCCTTGTGTCTGCAGGTGACCTGGGCCCGGCACAAATGGGCAGTGGTATCCAGTACGGAGACAAGCAACGCAAGAACGAGAAGGACGACGTGCAGCATGCCCCGGCCAAGTGTACTTGCTAGATCGAATCTTGACAGCACTACCTAGCGTTGTGCAACTCTGGTTCAGTTTGAATACTTCGAATCACTTTAGTCATGTCTTGCGGTTGCATAGTTGTTCTTTACTGCTGACCCGGGAGTAGTAGAATACCTGCTTTTTGCTTCTCCTTGCTTCTAACAATGTTGAGATGCCTTTTTGTCGACTCTTCTGTCTGGATCTCCTTGACAGGTGTGTTAAGCCCATGGATCCTTCCATGAGTGCAATACGAGCGATACTTTGTTATTATGTGTAGCACGCCCATGCATGTAGATGTTTTATCCTGACCCATTAGTAGGGCTGGTCCTCTATTACTAGTATTGCTTTTTACTAGTAAGTTTTTAGATGCTACTTTTAGGTAGAAATGCTAGACACTGGACAGATCTTCCATGAAACATTGCTCTACCCAGCAGTGTATTTTTGCATCTTCTTTTTTAGCTGCTGGCCTCGCGGCATTTGAACATGTTTTTGGCACTGGCCTCCCATTCATTTTCTGTGTTGCTACTCAAGCACCGCTGTGCATTCGCAAATATTCTAAAGCGGAACTCTCACACACTGAACTAACAGGGCCGCTCAGTCTCGTATGCACAGGCACCGAATCGACCTTGTCTGTACAGAATGATGGACCTTGTAAATTTCCCGTAGCATGCCCGCCTGCCAACTATGCAAGCCTGCCCCCTTTATCCTACTATCATAGCATTTATTTTGCCTTTAAATTTTCTCTGTCTCTGAGATTTATTTGACTATTTTGCTGTTCCACCATCTCTTGGCTTCCCTGTACAATGTATTAATTTTGGAGAATGTTGCCGAAAAGATGCGAGTGTGGTTTGAATCATTGAAGTGTGTTTGCACGCGTGCATGTGTGTTGTTCAGTTACTTGCGCACACTCAAAATAATGGGAGAGCTTCTCTTTAATTCACACTACATCTCCTAAGTTTCTCTGTCTCCCTGTGGGTGCAGAAGCCGGGTAGATGGGTCTGCGATAAAAGCGAAGATTCGTGGGAGTGTTGTGCATGTGTTCGTCCATGTAAGGGATGTCTATTTTTGTAGCACCACCTTAGGGGCCGTCCGGGGTTACCGATTGTTTTTACAAAACGAAAAAAGATTTAGTATTTTTCAGCCCCCACCTATTCTGCAGGTAAAACGAATTCCAGTAAAATATTAATGTCAATTTTCGACACCCAGAGGTAACTGGGCATTCTCCATCTGCATCAATGATTATTTTCAAAACGAAACTGGATCAAACCCACCTACCCCCAAACGAAAACTTTTGGTTTTGAAAATATTATTGGTAACCTTGGACAGCCCCTTACTAGTATCTGGCAGGTGAGCATTGTTCTACTGAGATCACCTAGGCAAAGCCCACGTGACCATGACCTGGGATTGTTAGAAGTAAGACAACAAAAAGTGCTTTTCACGTAAGGACAGTTTTCTGATCGTACTTCTAAGGCTGTGGGTACAAACTTCTCTCTTTCTTTTCCTTCGTTTATGTGCAGGTGAGCTTGATCCAGAGCGGATGGGCTCTGGTATTCAGTACGGAGACACAACCCTCAGAAAGCTAACGAATCGGCAGCAGGAGAAACCGGGCTGTAGTTGCTAGGGTCATCACAGCACGGATAGTCCTCATCATCATCGTCATTGTCATTGTCATCGCGCTTTGACCGCCCTCTGTTTGATGCTTATGAGTCCATACCTGTAGGTTTGTTATTCCATAGCCTGCTTGTGGTGCTGGCTGGTTGTCTATTTACGACTTTAGCTAGTTATATTTTTTGTGTAGGGATGTGCGGGCAGTCTTTTTTCGCGTCCAAGTAATATTTATCAGCACGCTGCCCACCGAACTCCCTGGTTGCTGCTTCTAGGAATTTGGACTGCCCACACATCGACTAGCCTAGTTGTGTCGTTCTCGTTCGTTGTTTTTAATTGTGCTGCTGGTTTTTGCGGCGGCGGCACTTCACCTGTAGCTCGACGGGGCCAGCTATTTGCGCTGGCCTCTCACTGTTTTGCACTTCTGCTCCCAGTCTTTTTTTCCTCTCCGTATGTGTCTGCCCGTGCTACCGTACAAATTGGGTACATCCTCGGTGATGTTCTTATGAAGTACTGGCAAGTATTTGTCTTTGAAAATTTTGTATATGCAAGAAATGTTATGCCACGACTGCATTGTCTATTCCTTTGTACTATGTCATAGATTTACTTTTCCCTTCATGAACTTCTCTATCATATTTTTGTACGCTAATTCTAAAGTTAATCTGAACACTTCGCTGCTCCATTGACTTTGAGCTTCCCTGTACAACGCATGCGGAGAATGTTGCTGAAAAGAAGAGAGTGATGAACTGGTTAGACTTATTGAAGTGTGTGTGTGTGTGTGCGCGCGCGTGTGTGTGTGTGTTGGTTTGGTTGGTTGGTGCATGTACTTGTGTAGTTTGTTCACATTTTGCCATGCAAGTAGTTTGTTCTCAGCTCCTCAGCCAGGTTCTACCAAGAGTACATAACGGTGTATGTACTCTTGGTTCTGCCGAGTTACCGGCAGCCAGGAGGTTGTAGGCTCGGTGCACCCAATCATTATTATACAGGTGGGACGACACGAAATCGTAGTACATTGTATGCGGACGATAAGAAATTATAGAACACGAAATAATGACGATTATGTGCATTTCGACCAGCGAGTCATAAAATATTTGACGACTCGCTGGTTTCGACCATGTATCAATATTATTGTGTATGTCCAGCCGCATCCAGGGCAGGGCCGAAAAGGGCATCAAGCTGCAAGAGCCGTGCGAGTAGAGGGTACCGGGTGCAGAATATGCACTTCCGGTTGGATTTCACCGAGCACGAGTGGCTGGCTGTTGCTGTGCGTGCGCGCATACGGTCGGCTCTTGGTGAAGCGGGTGTCGTTGTGCGAGGTGATTACCGGTAGTTCGTTATAGACGAAGTTCTTTATACCGGTAACAGGAGCTCACTCACACTATACAAACAACACGTTTATAATGACTGGCATTTCGCATTCCGGTGCGACAGTATGAGTGCACTTGGTTTACATGCGGCCCTACGACTATGGTTCGTTTGAACGAAAACTGTTCGCTATAAAGGGTCAATTTTTCAATTGGGTTCAAACAGGGCTATAGGGACATGGAAACTAGTTCGCTCTATCACGAAATTCGCTACTGTAAATATACAAATTTTCGGCAGCTATTTAATTTCGGCTATATTCGGCACCGACCCAAAATGCCTAAATTAAAACGCCGATGAAATTGTTCACAGCATCTGTCGCACTATACCATGCCCTCTACCCCACGCCGAAAATAAATCGCGACCGAAATGTCAAAAATCGTGAGGTGCCGACATTTTGCAGCGCCGAAATTTTGTATATTTACAGCATATGAGAGTTCATTATAAGTGGAGTCGACTGTACATGCATGTGAGCACCGAGACCACAGGCACAGTTAGCTATAAAACATAATATGAATGCGTACTCTTGTCAACACTGTGACTACCACTACATCAGTATACATGACATGTGCGGTACAAGCGTTATCACAGGGTCAGTCATGATCTAATAAAAATAAAGTGCTGGAGAAAAAAGAAAAAAAGGAGGACTATGGTAATGGAAAAAATCAGTATGAACCAGATATATGTACACGGTTGAGACTAAGTTAGCACACGTTGTCCCTGGTCTACCTTGTTTCATGAAGATCTAGTCCGAGTATGAATATTCTGCACGCAAGCTTGGCAAGAAAAGTGCCAACACAAACTTTGGTAGTCGACGGATAAAACTTTTAGAATGTTGCTTAGGATAGTATATAGAACTGTTCTTTGTATTATCATGAGAAAGAATATCTGGCGAGAGGAGTTTGCACGCGGAAGGAACGACACATGCCGGCCACATGGCTCCACAATGGGTGTGCTCCAAACAGGGTCCGACGAGGACTTCTAGCACCCACACATTTACTAGCCAAACTGGGCCACAGTCACCAGGCCAGCAGCTCAGCTGGAGAGCACCGCTGTCAGCATTATCAGCAACAGAAAAGCCAAAAACAAACAGCAAGCAGCGGAACGGCCAGCACCCAGCCAGCGGGCACATCTAGACACACACACACATGCTTGAGCACGCACGGCATTCACGCGGTAGTTAGGTTCGCGAATTAAAGCAGCATGGGTGGCGCGCCCCGGCCCCGTGGCATTAACTAGGCTAGACACGGCACGGCAAGAGGAGCTGCAGCGCAGGCTCAGCACCAGGTCGGCAACGTCACAACGTGCGCCGATCATTGTCTCGCAGTGCTCCGATCCGTGTTGCAAACCAGCGTGGCGACGCCGGACAGGCCAGTTGTCCAGTTGGCGAAAGCAAATTCACAGCGGTGCACGGTCAGGCTACTTCATGATGTCGGCGCGTTTCTTGTTGTGTGCGTCAATCATACCCTTGAACTCCTCAGCCCAATCTGCTGCCGGTTGATCGTATATCTGTGCCAACAATCACAGGGTACAAATCAACATGTTCATGCGCAAAGCTCAGCCTAACGAAGTAGAACGTGAACCGTGATTTTGTTTAAATACTACAATGCTGTGAGTTTTTTTTCGAAAGGGAGAAAAACATAAAGGAGAATTCCGGTTAGGCTGCAACCACACTAGGTACAAAACTGCGCGAACGCAACTTTTTCACCTGTGCCGTCAAGGAAACGCGTGCGAAACGCAAAACGTGCTGCGTTTCGTTTCAGCAAACCGGGTACCCCTGTAGAAAGCAACTTTTTGCCTTTCCTTGCGTTTCGCTCGGCTCTTCATACGGGTAGATGTTTCTTGTTGAGGCTTGCACTGTGTCGGTAGTAGACGGCTTCCTTGTCAGTTTGTAGTATTCGAGATTTCATCTGCCAGGGCTTTGCTTTCAGTATAATTTCCGGACACTCCTGTTGTTAGTTTCCGAGATGCCGCGCAACTACACGTATTTCGCTGATAATCTCGAACTGAGAAGCTCATGCGGCTTGGGGCAGTGTACCAGAAGACGAAGCAGGGCCAGATGACAGAGCGGACCATCCGAGAGAAGGAGATGACCGAGGCCTTGAACGTGTATGTCAAGGCGATCGCGACTCTTTTCCAAACTACTACGGTCATGTACTAGTAGTAGATAAATTAAATTATTTTCACAGCGCGGCATTTTCTGGGACCCAGAAACGTGGACAAAACGCAAGGATCCCTTGCGCATGAAATGGCAGTGTGGATGCAACTTTGCGTTATCGAAAAGCTGAACGCAAACGTGTACTTTATTTTGTACGTAGTGTGGTTGCAGCCTAAAACACAAGCTATCTGCACGGAGAGGGAACCAGTAGAAAATGTGTTTGTGCCTGTAGTTCATAAGCATCCGGGCAAGAACATACATGTACATACTGTACAGAAGAGTGTAAAAAAACAGTGCTCCTCGCTACATAAGCCAATGTTGTAATTCAAACCAAGTCTACATTCCAGTCTAAGTTCCACGCATCTCTGAAGAAAAAAGGCATGCGCCTATGTCAACTCCCTCTTTAAAAATGTCCTGCTCCCATGCGAATCATGCTTCTACGGTCCACCTTTCTCTCGACTTTGTGGCAAGTCAAAGACTAATAGTGGTAGCCAAGCTGTACACACTGCACAGCAACTTGAATAACATCGGTACCGGCAAGAGTACATACCCCCCCCCCCCCAAGAATGTGCAACTCAACTATGGGGGCTGTCCCGACAGAATTTCAAGTTGACGTCATTTTTTTATGATGCAATGCGCTCTGTACACATATTATCAGATATATCCTGAACCTGTGGGGGACAGAGCCCCATTTGATTCTGTACAAACTAGTGCAAATAAAAACGCGTGATGTGTGGACACCGCGTAGAAATGTCGTAAATCACTGGTGCAAGGAGCATTGCATAAAAAATGACGTCAACTTGATTCTGTCAGGACAGCAGGGTATGCGGGAGTTGTGAACTCTTTTGGTACCGGCAAGAGTCCAGGACTCCAAAGAGAATGTAACTCTGCACACTGGGTCTGGCGCGGTGCGCTGCCCGCATCACATAGCCACGAACTGGGGAATCAGCTGCGTAATCGCGTCATTACTGATCTGCTATGGTTTCAAGCTGCCAAGTACATTTTTCGTCACGTACAGGCACTGCCGTATTACGTGTGAAATAATTTAAAAGCCCAAACAGTAGAGAACTCAAATCCAATCAGGTTGATCGTCATTTCACTACGTGATGACAGTGGTGGGCCATGCAGGGCACCCATACTGGTAATAGCTTGGAGATCAGAGCTGCACACTCTTGGGGTTACGGACTCTTGGCACCGGTGTATACCAGGGCATACTACAAAAACGCCTCAAGGCTTCTCCTAACTAGGCCATGCACTTACTCGAGACATTGTCGCCATCACCTGCATCGGTTCAACCTCGATGTAGGCACGAACGCCCCAGCTCCAGATGTAAGCACGCTTCTTACTAGCCTCTTCCTGATTCTGGTCTGCCTCCTTTACGACGTACCTCTGGTGGGCAAGGACATTCAGTAGCTTCTCAATGTCGCCAAACTGCTGGTGTTTCCGCCTGGACATGGATCATAGAAGAAGAGAGAAACCCACCCGCTAGGCTGCAGAATGGCTCGGCAGTGGTCACAGGACCCTTGATTGCATGACAATGTACATGTAGGTGGTATACAGGTGTGTGTGTGTGTGTGTGTGTGTGTGTGTGTGTGTGTGTGTGTGTGTGTGTGTGTGACTTTATTATACATCTAGTACGTTTTATATGACATGGATGACTGGCAACCGGCAAAGAGCTTTCGAGAGTCGGTTCAACCTGGAGCTGGCACACTTGAGTTTACGTAGTTGGCAAGGACCAGCTGCTCGATGATAATAAAAAATACTAAAAATTATTCGTTGAATTGATGATTGGTGTCGCTTCTAAAGCAAGCCGAAATACCGTTGACTAGGTCACAGGAAATGTCACAGCCAAAGATGATAATAGTGACTGATCTCATTTCCTCTGTGCTGCGCTGACGAGTCCACAAAGGACGAACCAGTTCTGTCCGCAGATTGAGTAATAGGGACAGATGCATACCAAGACCTGAGCTTTACTCACTGGATAACTTACCCTCTTTCGATGCCCATCTTTTCCAGGAAGAGAAATAAGTCATCTGTAAGGAGCACAAGACAGACCACCGAGAGAGATAGTAGTGCAACACACTCGGTCGCAAGCACACTCCTACAAATAAAAGGGTGTCACCTTGCACGCAAACTGAAGCCAAGAGTCAATGCTAAGCAAAGTAGTAGTCCAGACACAAAAACTCTTCTTTCTGCTTACCGTCCTTGAGGCGGTTCTCCTTCATGAAGATTACAGTCAGCACCAAGACGAGCATGTTAAGCTGCTCATCAGAACGTTTCCTGTGCATGTCAGGAGACAGAACAAAGAAAGGAATGGAGTTCAACAGACGGGTCCATGATTCAAGTCGACAACCAGGCAACCACCGACCGGTGTCTTCCTTTGTACTGTCAAGGCACAGTGCTGCATGTGCTGTCAAGGCACAGTGATGCATGTACTGTTGAGGCACAGAACTGCATGAACTAGCAAGAGCACAATCAGAGTGTGCAGCGCCGCATAGGGGGATCAGAATGGAGCGTAAATCGTCGTTACGCCATTCTGACGTCACAATACAGGGACAATATATGTCGCAAGTTCAGGGCTCACAGTAGGCATGCAGGATCGACAAAAGCGTCGTGAGTCGCGTGACCCCGGGAGAGTACCAATCATGTACATCCCACGCATCCAAAACAGAGCAGAAAAGAGAAAGAACCCGAGTTGTACTTGTACCATGTGTACTGTTCTCGTAGTTTTAATTTTAGAGCCGATGTTCACGATATTTTGGAGGAGAAGGCGAAACGCAACCTGTGCTAGTCCCAGTAAAAACAACATGCCATGTTCGACCAAGAGCTGATCCTACATTGAGCGATCGTGATGATTCCACAGGTAAGAAGACAAACAAACGAGTCAGAGCTCGCCAGGCAGGTAACGCCGAGAACATGATGATACCACACGGAGCTGGTGATCGGATGGAGGTGAACGGGACCAGCAAATCCACCGGGCGTTTGTCGAGGGCCACTGAAGACCAGGTTTCCCAGGGTGCCAGTTCCTCCATGATGGCGAACTGCGCTGCCACAAGAACTCCAGCGAGAATGAAAGCACAGCAACCAACGCCGCGGGCGAACTGAGGAGAGAACACCGAACAATCTGTGCACAATGATTTTCTCTTCGACGGCACGCGTTGCTGTTCTGCTGCATCCATGCGTTTTTCTTGTTGTTTGATCTTCACACATTTTCGCGCAAGCGGTTTTGCGCCGCTGGGACTCGGGGTTACTAAAATTAGTACAGAGCATCTCCCCCTTGGTCGATTTGGACAATCTATGGCTCAAAATTTTCAGGAGACCCTGGCAAAGAAATTTACCGAGACGTTTCTGGATATTCCTTTCGAATGCTGTACTATATCTCACGAAGTTTACGCACATGCTCTGGCATACCCGTGTGAGTAATGAAAATTTGTTTCGGTAAATCTTTTGGAACACCTGTCATCTGTGCCTGGGCCAAGTCTCAGCTTCGTAGAACCAGGCTGAAGTGCTGCTAACTCCTTCAAACACCCCCTACTTCGAGCAAAAATGCGACGAAATGCTGACTGCTGATTGGCCAAGCTGGCATTTTGGAGCACGTGCACCGCCCCCATCTAATCGACGCTTTTCTACGCAACTGTGAGCCCTGAAGTTGTATTGACGCAGCGCAACATTGTTGCGGCAACTCGCAAAAATTGCAATTTCAAATTTGGACTTTACGGAGAATTTCAAGTTTTTCTCGCAAAAACGATTTAACAAAAAAAAGGAAAACGAAAGAATTCTGCTTTCTTGAACTGATGCGGCAGAGTTGCACACTCTGGTTCCGTACTCTTGGCACTTATAGGACTCTACTCAGCGGGTGTGCTTGTAACAGCATTGAGCCTGTAGCATTGCAAAACGCTCTACATAAACAAGCAAACAAGTAAGCAAGCATGCCATGGCAAAACTACTGTATTTCAAAGCGCACAACTTCGCATACCATTTGTCAGCCTCCACGCAGAGTGTGTTGACAAGCAAGAAGTACCGCTGCGTACCCAGAGTGGTCTCCACCAGATCAAAGCCAAACACCTACGAGCAACACACAACACACAACAAAAAAAAATTAGCCCGGCATGTCAATCGTGCCCCCCCCCCCCCCCCCCCCCCCGCACACAAACACACACGCAGACAGACACGAACACACGTGCACGCACACACACACACGCACGCACGCACGTACGCACCCACCCACCCACACACACACACATCTACATCGTCCACACTGCAGGTATGGTCATCAGGGATCGATTTATCCGGGTTCGCATCGCAGTTTGCGAATCAAAATTCACTGGCTGCGATTCGCTTTTCGTTTTTTATCGCCCAAAACTGCGATGCACTACAAAGACCAGTTGTGTACAGTCTACATGCGACTGTTGTACACACTGCTGACTAGGGAGTAGTATTTTACTACTCCAACCAACTGGCCTGTCCTGCTCAGTCCGCGCGCGGGTCGCGGATCGCGCTCTTTCGATTTTGGACACTGCACTAGCACTGGTCGTACAGGACTGCAGTCTTCTGAAGTTTTGTACACGGCGGTGACTTTTCCTGATGTTCTCCTTTCTTCGTTCACTTTCAAGCTCAGTTTGTTTCTGTTCGACAAGGCAAAGTTGAAGTAGACGGTTCTTAGTCTCATGTAGCCAACATGTCAGTGAATCTGATCAGTGATTCACTGTCCAGAAGAGGGACAAAGAACTGGACGCGCAAGGAATGCCGATTCGTTTCAATGAAGAAAAGGAGAAAAGCGAAATTCGATGCGCTTTGCCCGAAATGTCACGATCGTTTGAGCGCTTTCCTGAGGTTTCTTTGTCGAAGGAATCAGTGGAACTGCCCTGTTGAAGGACATTGTGTTGTGAAAAACTTGAAGTCGGATGGACGCTGAACATGTAACGTGCCCAAGTGAAAACTCTAACGTAAATATTCAGGTCGAACATTCGCTTGGAAAAAGCAACTGCAGCTATTGTCCTCTTCTGGACGAAATCCTGCTATTGTGCAGCTATACATGTAAACTTTTGATGAAGGAAAACTGCTAATCAATACTGGGAGTTGCTAGTCAATTGTAAAACTGTGTAGCAGTGACTGCTATGCAAAAAAATCAAAGTAAATCGATCCCTGGGTCATGCACAGGCAAACATGTGCACCCGTACTTGGAATTAGCCTAAGTTGTGCTGCTAGATATAGTGGAAATGTGCAGCCATTTCAGAGTTGAAAAAAGGGAAAAGACAAACATGTATATCTATATGGTACTATATACCATGTAAAGCTTGATTGAGTACAAGCACGTCTCGGAGTTTGAGAAAGTTTTGTTTTCAACACTCAATTTCAAGGTTCGACGTGTTCCTTATTAATTGTGTGCTCCAGACGAAAGTCGCGAGTCAGTCAGACAGCAAGAAGAGTCTGAGCGAGCTCCAAAGTTGGGAGCAGCTACGCTCTTCAGTTACCATTGTTGTTCTAATATTATTCTAAAAGACAATGTGAAGCTTTTCAGCACATAGTGCATAATGTCGTGCACAGGCAGCAGGAAACTAGGATACCCATTGCTACCTCTATACATATACATGTACATATTCACACTCCCAAACAAACAATACTAAACAGACGTACATCGTTGAGCTCCACCTTTGCGGCTTCGTGAATCAGAGGAAACGCACGGCTGTTCTCCTTCAGGCCGGGCACATGCTCCACTATTTCTGGAAGTGTATGAAGAAAAGTGCAGCACAGCAGAGGAACACGACTGAAAAACCGGTACACAGCACTGAAGGGCAGCACGCAAATGGTCAAAGCGCCTTCATGAAGGCACACGCCTTTAATTGTATGCACACTGATACAGACTTTTCGTCAACCACTACACCACGACTGTGTTCTCCAGCCGACCTCTGCAAAAATCGAAAAATCTGCACAGGGCCGAATGCTGCTGCTTCCCCCTTACTTATCACACTGATACATGGCCCAAAATTCAATCAAAAAATCCCGTTTCTCTGAAACTGGAAACTGGTCACCAGCTCCTTCGATTTTTGCAGGTGTAGGCCACAAGGTCAATCATCGGATTACTTGCCCATTTCATAAGATGCACAGAGCGCTTGCGTGTAGGATGGAAATGCACGAGTGCAGTGGCAGAAAAAAAAGCGGGTACTCGATGGAAACATTAAAAAGGAAAAGAAAAGTTGAACCTTTCTTAGTGTGGACTCAGCAATTCTGCAGCTGTGTGTTTTGTGTCCTGGCTCAGTGCTCTTTCCGCAAAGTTAGTTTTTGCCCTCTTTCGACTAGTTTGTTTGCTGTGCTCATGGCTTAGCTACCAGCTATAATTCTACAGGCACCACATCCTCCGGGGTATTATCCCCCCCCCCCCCCCCCCCCACCTCTCGGAGACAGCGGCACATTCTAGTTGGAATGCATTTTTTAAACGTTTTTAGCACAATGCATTCTTCGCTTATTTTCAGAAATGATACGCTGCTTCGCTTTGTTGTTGTTGGCAGGAAACGTGAGCTCCAGCATCAGGTGCATTCAGCGTATTCCAAGAAAATAAGTACTAGTAAGGGGAAGCATACACATACATGTTCAAGATATACTTTAAACATATGACTGAGTAAATAATACCAAACAGGTACAGAGGGCATGTGATGCATTTGCTTTACCACAGCCGTGACTGCAGACAGTGATGCAGCACGTACGGTTTACAAGCAAATCTTACGTGCTTTCTTCACAGGTACCTTCTTCTTGTCACTGAAGATGAGGTAGCGCACCATCGCTGCAATCTAAACATACCAATGCACATGGACATGCAAACGCACGCGTGCGCGCGCGCACACACACACGCGCGCACACATACACGCACGCACGCACGCACGCACACGCACACACACACACACACACACACACACACACAGGGGTTGGCATACATGTAACTACAAGCAACCAGGTAGTAGCAGCTACACGGTGCATTAAAATGACTTTTTAAATACACACAAAAAAGTTGACACAAGAACGGCCAGCATAATAGTTAGTATTTGCAGAGCGAACAGCAAACACAGTGATACAACAGAAGACGCATAACGGACAGCAAACACAGCGATACAACAGAAGACGCATAACGGACAGCAAACACAGCGATACAACAGAAGACGCATAACGGACAGCAAACACAGCGATACAACAGAAGACGCATAACGGACAGCAAACACAGCGATACAACAGAAGACGCATAACGGACAGCAAACAAAGCGATACAACAGAAGACGCATAACGGACAGCAAACACAACGATACAACAGAAGACGCATAACGGACAGCAAACACAGCGATACAACAGAAGACGCATAACGGACAGCAAACACAGCGATACAACAGAAGACGCATAACGGACAGCAAACACAGCGATACAACAGAAGACGCATAACGGACAGCAAACACAGCGATACAACAGAAGACGCATAACGGACAGCAAACACAGCGATACAACAGAAGACGCATAACGGACAGCAAACACAGCGATACAACAGAAGACGCATAACGGACAGCAAACACAGCGATACAACAGAAGACGCATAACGGACAGCAAACACAGCGATACAACAGAGGACGCATAACGGACAGCAAACACAGCGATACAACAGAAGACGCATAACGGACAGCAAACACAGCGATACAACAGAAGACGCATAACGGACAGCAAACACAGCGACACAACAGAAGACGCATAACGGACAGCAAACACAACGATACAACAGAAGACGCATAACGGACAGCAAACACAGCGATACAACAGAAGACGCATAACGGACAGCAAACACAGCGATACAACAGAAGACGCATAACGGACAGATCGTCGCAGTGGATTACTACTATATTGGCTGTTCTGTATCTGTAACCTTTAATACTACTGTAGGGCTGAATTATTCAAATATTCAAAATATGCAGACTGGAAAAAGAATATTCTTCGTTAAAGTAGAACAAGAATATTCGTTAGATTCCTTACCATTGATTTTTTCTCTTGCGCAGATATGTTCTCTGCTGCCTTTTTGGCCTGGTCCATGGCTCTCTGTGACGGTTGCACTTGTGCTTGCGAGGCCTGGCTAAAGTCCAGTCCGCTAATGCAGAAACGAATGACAGAACGCACGGATGCAAGGACGTTCACAAGCTGAGACATAGATACTGGTGCACTATAAGCATTGATGCAGACAACACATCCAAAATCACTAATTCCAAAACTCAAGGTGCGGGTACTCTATTCCCAAACAAGCAAACAACACCCTCCATGCTTAGTGGTCAAAGTGATCCATCTAGAGATGCAAGAAAAGAAGCACGAGGCATGCCAACTTCACACCCAACATATTATACCCCCACACGCATACACACATGCGCGCGCGCGCACACACACACACACACACACACACACACACACACACACACACACACACACAGCCATGAAGGTTACTTACTCGGCCGCATACGTCCGCTTGGCAGTGGAGGTCAGTGGCTAGGACAGAGAGTACACAGACAAAACAAACACATGCATGTACAATGCGGGTGCAGTGCACACAAGCAGTGCGTGTTGTACCGCGATTGGCATCTGACGGTTCCACTGACTACGGCAGCAGCACATGCTGGGTGAATGTGTTCTGTCTTGCATCAAACTGCTGCTTCGCTCTCTGCACTGACACACCCAACCTTCTCATTGATGTCTATCCTCGGAACAAGAGCAGTCTACTTCCCGCCTTCGACCTATATCGTCAAGGTGAGCGTGTGGGCCTGAATGAATACTTGGATCAGCTACTAGTATATAACCTATATCGGTTGACAACCTGATTGGGTTAGCGAGGCATAACGCACGTATACGTTGTTGCCATGGGATCGACACTTCGCTGCCTTTTAGTCGCACGCGTTTACGATTTTTCTCCACTATGCCTATGGAGACGAGCCGCCAGTCTAACAAGCAACACCTATGTGAAGACATGGGGAAGCGCTTTGCGCCGGTGAGTGAGGCTGCCATTCAGCTAGGCACCTGTATCCTACTGAAGACATGCAACTCACTTGCACGCAGTACACAATTTCGCTCCGTGTGAAGTGTGGATAATTTGTGTTCCACAGCCTTGCCAACGAGTAGAAATGATACAACAGAAATTTAGAGAGCAAATAACACAAAGAGTACTTCAACTGTAGACTAAAAGTTGGCTCATTGTGAGTAATAAATAATCGTACAGAAAACTCAAAGGTTTAGCCTGCAGAGATCATACAGGATGGAGATGAAGTACACTTGAGTCTTGACCTAATACAGTGCTGGCCAGAGAAATCCAACCTCATGAACAAAGTAGCGCTGCGTTTGAGTGCACAGACCAGTATGTGTAGTGCTAGGGCTGCGTAGCACCCGGCGCTATTTTATTCATGAGTTTGGATTTCTTTGGCCTGCACTGCACATGCACCATGTGCACTGGGTATCTTGAAGTGACTTCTCTCCTTTTAATTTCTCAAAATTATAGTCATGCTCACTGGTTTGAGGGAAAGATGCAAACGGGAAAAGTCTGAAGAAAAAATTGACTGTCACCACCAGGACTCATAATACATGTATTAGTAATTAAGGAGTGAGTAGGGTGCCTGTACACGTAATGGGGTGCTCTAGTTATTCCAAATTGTAAATATAATTCGTGATTCCAACTCCTCACCTCATCTTCTTCCATTTCAAGACCCCCACGATTTCTTTTCGCCATTTGGCCAGATATAGTTGTCCGAGGCATAGCAGCACAGCTATGAGCATGCAGTGTTCAACAGAGTGGAGGGAAGCTGACTACTTAGGTCAACTACAAGTATATAGCTGTTAGAACCAAGCTCATGTTAGCAGTTATATTAGCTTCGCAATTTCATTCCATTTTGCCTTTTGCTTGGAGTTTTGGTGTGCAAACGTGTTGCTTCCCGCCTTTTCGTCATCAAAAACATTTTGACGTCATGCATGCGCAAATAATATTCGTCAATGAGTTTTGTCGAACAGAAAAAGTTTTGGAAAAGTGATCAGCCAGAAAAATCGATCTCGCTCATCTCTGGCTCATCTTCTAGAATTCTAAAATATTTGAATTGAAATAGGTTGTTTTCCTTGACCTCAGAACAGTTCCCAAAGGCCACCGTCAATCATGCCTGTGGAAAATTTAGAGGAAGAGGGGCTTCCTAAGAACCCCAATTTGGCCTTAGCTCAGCTGAAATTCTTACTAACCATTCCCAAGGAAAGTGCTCAAAGTTTGAATATCGAAGATGTCAGGAAACAGCTTATGGATGAGATTCGCGAAAAGGGTAAGCTTCAGTGCTTTCCTGTCTTTGCTTGTAGGCTGGACTGTTGGTAAGTATCATGGTGCTGTACTCTCCTTCCTGCAGACATGACCCCATACTACGAGGATGTGTGCAGCGAGTTGAAATGGGATGTTGATTCGCAGTTGCTGGCAACGATGCGAGAGAACAATGAGAAGAAGGTGAAGGAGCTCGATGATGCTATCGAGGATGCAGAGCAAAATCTGGGTGAAATTGATGTGCGAGATGCTGTACTCGCTAAGGCCGAATATCTTGCGTCTATAGGTGAAAAGGTATGACCGTTTTTAAGTCCATCCTGTAGCAATAGCAACCGTCTCTGTGTACTGTTTAATATATGGGCAGTTGTGGCCAATACAATAATGCAGTGTACGGAATCGTTCTCAAGTACCCCGATTTTCCGTGCAACACTGGCACACTGTGCCCTTGGCCGATTCCATAGTTCATTGGCTATGTTTGAAGACTTGCACAATGTCCCAGTATGTGCAGTGCTTCAGCACTAAGTTTCTGTACGAGTAGGGTGGTGAAGCAGTACAGAGTAGCTTCAGTAGCTGCCTTCTCGGGCTACGGGTGCATACATGATGTAGTCGTGTTTTGTCCGGCACATGCAATACCATCCTATTGAGTGTACAACTGCTGTGTGTGCATGTCATGATGATCAGTCGGAGTGATGAGGTTTGGTTCGAAAGTTCAAACTCCTGAGTGCTGCGTTCCATTGTCTACGCCTCTGTTTATATTTGGCCATCTCTCCAGGAACGTGCCATCACTGGATTTCGATTGGCATATGAGCGCTGTGTAACCCTAGGCAGTCGCCTGGACATCGTCTTCTATATGATCCGCATTGGCATGTTCTTCAATGACAATGACATAATGGTGCGCAATATTGAGAAGGCGAAGAGGTACGGTATGCGCGAGAGTAGTGTTCCCTGTATACAACACTTTGTTACTATCCGGCCTAGATTAGCCGTAGAAGAACAATGCACAGCACAGTCACACCAGGTGAACTCAAAGCCCAGGGTGTGCAACGCTAGCGCCCATAACATCATCCATGTGTAGGTATATGACCTCACCTGTACACACCTTGTGCGTAGTACACATTCTGAGTGCAGTAGGCTGAAATGTTTTGCATTTACCCCGTGTAAACCAGCAGCTTTCGTACAACTTCCATTGCACCCAGGGTCACACCATTTGGGGTTTTGACTTCACATCTAAGTTGATCCAACACAACTGTACTTCACTGGATATAGCAGCACTCCTTCGGGATATGCGACCTGGCTACATCTGATGTGTCATCAGACGCCTTTATAATCTTGGCGTAGGCATTGGCCAGGAGACCGAGTTGTCCATATCAATAGGTTTAGTCATCCTAAGTGCTGTTTTACTGATGCTGTTTTACTGATGCTGTTTTACTGATGCTGCCTGTGTTTCTGGTCATACTCTACTTGTGCTATGTGGCTAGTCTTATCGAAGAAGGTGGTGATTGGGACAGGCGGAATCGCCTCAAGGTCTATGAGGGTATGTACGCCATGTCCACGAGGGCGTTCAGCCGTGCCTCCGACCTCTTCCTGGAGGCGGTAGCAACGTTCACGTCCTATGAACTCATGTCATACCAGCAGTTTGTTCGCTATACTGTCCTGTGCTCCATGATCACGGTGGAGCGAACGACCTTGAAAGAGAAGGTGAGCCTCCGCGTCCCTTCAGTCTGCATGCTGTTTACAATTAGTACCGGACGTGTGCTGGAGTTTGCTATCTTTCCTGTGCGTGTGTAGGTGTGTGTGCACTGATGCCAGATAGTGGTTGGGTCTGTTCCCAACAGGCTCGACTGCTTGAAGGTGTGTTATTTTGCCTTCCACCTTTGTTGGTTTCGGGGCCCGTATACTTTATATTTGAAGTATACGCTCGTACATACTTGTACCTGTTGACCAATGGTCTCCTTCTGGCTTGATTGACTCTTGTGTGATTTGTGGATACATGACATGTACTAGTGTGTGTGTGTGTGTGTGTGTGTGTGTGTGTGTGTGTGTGTGTGTGTGTGTGTGTGTGTGTATGTGTGTGTATGTGTGTGTGTGTGTGTGTGTGTGTGTGTGTGTGTGTGTGCGTGTGTGTGCGTGTGTGTGTGTGTGTGTGTGTTTCTTTCCTGGATGCCCAGTGTGTGAACGGTGCTGAAGTGCAGGAGGTGCTACACTCCGACACTTTGATACGCAGCTATCTCAACGCCCTCTACAAGTGCCAGTACGGAGACTTCTTTCGCCTGCTCGCCGAGGTCGAGTGCATGATCCTGCAGGATCGTTGGCTGCACTTGCACGCCAACTTCTTTGTGCGCGAGATGCGCATACTTGCCTACAATCAGCTACTTCAATCCTATCACGCCCTTACACTCAATCACATGGCCAACGCGTTTGGTGTCTCCGTTGAATTCATCGATCGGTAAGACATGTACTTGTGCATCTCACCACAGGAGTACGTGTGCAATCTGAATGACATCATAGAGTTGTGCATGGTGTACGTAGTCATATGCTGTCATCATACATGCACCTATTGGAGTTGTGCATGTATGTGATTTGTTTATTGCTACCCATCCATGGACAAGAGTTGTGCAGTTAGGGCAAACACTCTACACTGATGGCGACACTGAGGGAGATGTTTACACTCAGCCTACATGCTGTTGGAAACTGTAATGCTGGGAACACGGTTTACACCGGTTGAAAACTCTCAAGAGTGTGAAAGCAGCAGGCAAGCTAGTCTAACCAGTGAGAACGCTCCAGGGTTCCGGGGTACCGATGACACCTGCATTCCTGCGTGCCATTCTAGGGTTTTTTCCCTTTGTCCCCGTGAAAATCAGCCTCAATTGCCGCTGGATGTGTAGAGTGCCGTAGTGCCACAGGGGGCCTATTAGGCTAAGCGCCCTGTATAGCATACCCCATGGGATTACTAGCTTGGTATGCCCTGGTTGGATGTGTAGAGTGCCGTAGTGCCACAGGGGGCCTATTAGGCTAAGCGCCCTGTATAGCATACCCCATGGGATTACTAGCTTGGTATGCCCTGGCTGGGTGTGATGATTACATTGTCTTTGGGAGTTCTTTTGTCATGTTCTTCGATATCTGAGAGATCTGAGAATTCTCATCTATTGTCTTATTCGATCTGTGTTTTTGACTGCAATTGCTTTGGACGTTTCCAGAGAGCTGGCACGGTTCATTGCTGCTGGAAAGCTGCATTGCAAGATTGACAAAGTATCTGGCATTGTGGAGACGACACGGCCCGACAAGAGGAATTACCAATACCAGGTATGTGTGTAGCCGTAGAAGTGTGTGTGTGTGTGTGTGTATGTGTGTGTGTACGTGCGTGATCTCTAGAGGCTATGCGAATACAATCACCGTGTGTGCTTTGAATAGAGAGGAAACCAGTGGTTGTTGTATGGAGTGGCAAATAGTGCTAATTTCTTCTTCTTATTGAGTGGCATACAACTTCTTATTTTGCCACTCTACAAAGCATATCAAAATAATGGTGATGAACAGTTGATCCACTCCCTTTCTATTTTCCGCCTGTGAACCAACTTCAGTGTACTGTAAGACATGTATATATAATGAGGAAGCAAATCTAACGTTTTAACGGATGACATTTCTTCGTTATAATAAGATCCGTTGAGGCCGTACTGCTTCATATATGCTGTGTGTGGATATGGCAGAATACTGCCAAAACAAAGAACGGATTCTAGCTCCCAAAACCGGTGAACGACAGTGCATGTACATGTTAATGCACATAACGACTTCGAAATTTAACGAATTTAAATAAGTCGTTAGAAGTAAGTGTTCGTTAGCATTAGTGATCTTACAGTATGCGTCAAAATATGATGTTGAAGCGACGCACGCGTTGTTGCACACAATCCCTACCAGTACAGGTATGCCTATGAATGAAGCCGTGCACAATCCAGCCCGGCGAGCTATCTTTTGCAGTGTTGTACATCATACTGTACTTGGCAGTCTGGATCTAATTGCCCCCTCCCTCCCGCCGAAAAACGAGCTGTGGAGCGACACAGGGGGGGGTCTACGGTATTTTGTGAATACGCTCTTTAGCATGAGTAGAATGATATCTTCACGATCTTGTTTTTTATGTTTGTGTTTTGCAGTCTGTGATCAAGCATGGCGATATGCTTCTACAGCGTGTGCAGAAGTTGAGCCGTATCATCGATATTTGAGTGATGTGTGAGCATATTCTCTAGTGATGATGATGTTTAGCTGCCCGTTGCTCTTGACATCTGCCTGGGAGGGAGAACTTGTAGATAGCCTACGTCAAGCTGTGCTTGTGTGTGTGTGCGTGTGTGTGCGCGCGTGAGGGAGAGAGAGAGAGAGAGAGAGAGAGAGAGAGCACGTGCGCGGTTATTTTTTATGCTGCTGCCCGTGCATCCTGTGAGCATATTATTACTTCTGTCTAGCGTCGCTGTCTTATTTGTCGGCTAGTGCTTATTTTTCTTGCTCTGTGTGTTTTTTTAATTAGTTTTTCCCACCCTTGTACAGACCCTCAACCATGATTTTCTTGTTGCGTTCATGTTCTTGCAGAATAAGTTAGCGCCATGTGCTGACTATGCTTCCCCCCCCCCCCCTTCTTTGTTGTGTATAGTTACTGACTCGGCACTTTTATTGACAAATTATAGCGCAACACCCTACATGTATCCATTGTTCTAGTACATGTATCCATTGTTCTAGTACATGTATCCATTGTTCTAGTACATGTATCCATTGTTCTAGTACATGTATCCATTGTTCTAGTACATGTATCCATTGTTCTAGTACATGTATCCATTGTTCTAGTACATGTATCCATTGTTCTAGTACATGTATCCATTGTTCTAGTACATGTATCCATTGTTCTAGTACATGTATCCATTGTTCTAGTACATGTATCCATTGTTCTAGTACATGTATCCATTGTTCTAGTACATGTAAGGGTATACTGTAAACCCGGAAGCCTCTGCGATCTGCAGGGTTTGCTCGCAGTGGGTGTGAATTCGCAAGTAAGCCGGTGCGAAACGTAGAACTGTAGTAATAATAAAACTGATGAATTTGACTGCAATCGCAAACATTTCCCACTGCAAATAGTGGTCTGTGCACGCATATCGTGAACTAAAACTGGCATAATCGTTTCCCGTTACATGCAATGAACTGCACCGTCACTTGCGGTCGACGGGATACGTGTGCTCTGTCGCCGTCACGTCACTCCTCTCAGTGAGTGTACGTGGATGCAGATAGCTATGCTTCACTGCATGTACAATGCAGTATCACATGATACTTGATTGCAGCGTCATGTGCCGAGCAACCACTGTAGCAGTATCTACTATTTAGTGGCTGCAGTCTACAATGCTATGCTCTACTCACTGCAAAGTACAATACAATTCCTGCACTAGGAAGTACAGTGTAAGTTGTCCTAACCGGACGCTGGCCTTGGTACATCGGAAACTGTTCCGAAATGACAGGATTCCGCTTGATCCAGGGATCCACGTTCGATCCACATGGCCACAGCACTTTGGTGCATGGAAATTTGTCCAGTCAATACAGGATTCCGATTGGTACGTGGTCCGGTAAGCACAGGTTTCACTATAATTTAGATTGACAAACCAAGAATGAACGCAGGCACCATTTCAACAGGAGAGCGGTGCAATTTTAAAGATGTGTGTATCTTACTGCTCCCTGGTAGAACCAAGAGTACATAACCCCGGGGGGTTATGTACTCTTGGTAGAACCGATGACCGCTATTGAAGAGCATGCACCTACATGTACATATTGTAATTCACCAGTGATTGCGTCAGTCGATTCACAGCACTGCCGGGATGCGGCCGTAATACAGTATCTCGCGACGCAATGAGCCTGCGTGTAGCAGTGCTCGGATGAAAGTGAGGCTTAAACTCGACTTCTATTTTCACATACAGGTACTTTCCACACAAACTAAAAAAAAAGGATCAGAAAAAAACAAGACTGAATGCCTACTACAAGTTCAAATATTGGGCTAGGCTGATAACGCAGAAGTCAGGGGATATAAAAACTGCCATGGGCAGTGACAAATTGATTGTCAACTGTTTCCCCCAATAGGCTGCAAGAGGCCAGCATATTATCTCATTGTGTCACGAGACTATATTCTTCATAATCAAATAAGTGTTCATTGTCAAGACCAAAAGAAATAATATAGGACTGTTGTCCAGAAAGCCGAATTAATAGACGTAAATAATGACGTAAATAATGCCCCTCTAACTTCTAAGGTATGAGGTCCACGGCACTACTTCGGCAAATAAAATCCAAAGGGTGCAGCTTTGAATGCGCTCCTAAATACACACAACACAGATGACACCAAACTCCAAGCGTATGCATGCACACACGCACGCACACACAATTCCAAGACAGCATGATCACTGACTGCTCTCCGCCCTAGTGCTCTCCATAGCACTGATCAAAGTGGTGACGAAGCGGTGAACATCAGAAAACGTGTTGTACATGGGCACTGGAGCAACACGGATAACATCCGGTTTCCGCCCATCAACCACAACTCCTTGCCTAGCCAGTGCATCTTCGATTGCATTGATGTGGCATGAGAACTTCAGCGATAGCTGGCAGCCGCGATGATCCGGCTCACGAGGTGTAAGAATTTTGACGGAACAGCTAGCCCGCTTAGCATGCGGCTCTTGGGCAGTTTGTTGAGTTACAGATGGACCACGTTCGCAGCCAAGCAGCTCACACAGCAAGCTCTCGAGATAGCCGGTGAGCAGCAGGGATTTCTTCCGCAGCGCTTCCATGCTCGTCAGACTGAAGACATCCAAGCTGGCAAGCAGCGACGCTGTCTCCAGGACAGGAGGGTTGGATAGCTGAAAGCTGGCGACGCCCGGCAGAGGCTGGAAGTCGTGTGTCATCTCGAACCTTTTGTCCGGGTCATTGCCCCACCATCCAGCAAAGCGATTCAGGTCAAAGTTCTCGCTGTGACGATCGTGCATGAACGCACCGGCGATCCCACCAGGGCCGGAGTTTAAATACTTGTATGAGCACCAGCAAGCGAAGTCCACATCCCAGTCGTGAAGGTAGAGTGGGACGTTTCCGGCAGCGTGAGCCAAGTCAAAACCTGCGTAGCAACCATGCGCGTGGCATAGCTCCGAGATGCGCTTCATGTCGAACAGCTGGCCGGTGAAGAACTGAATACCGCCAAGCATAACAACAGCAATGCTGTCGCCTTCTCTCTCGAGCAGGTCTTCGATGTCCTCAGTGCGCGTCACTAACTCACCATCCTGGCTTGGCTTCAACTCGATAAGGGACGTCTTGGGATCAAACCCCCGCTGTTTGATCTGCGAAGCAACGGCATAGCGATCGGACGGGAAAGCTGTACTCTCGATGACGATCTTGTGACGCGTTTCAGTTGGCTGGTAGAAGGCAACTAGCATTAGATGAACATTCACTGTCAAACTGTTCATAACAGCCACCTCACGTCGACTCTTAGCACCTACCACGTGCAGGATACGGTCAGCTGCCGTCTCCCCAATCGGGTACCAAGGGTACGGGTCTTTGAAATGACCCTCTATGCCAATGTTGGCCCATTTATCTAATTGCTCATTTACTGTGGCACGCGTTTTCACTGGTTGTAACCCCAGGGAGTTGCCTAGAAGATAAGTTGATTCACCCTCCGGCTTGTCGCCACCGTAGTCACTCCGGTTCTTGTTTTTCGGCACAATAAACTCCTTTCGTAGATGGGAGAGCTCATCATGAGAATCCAAATAAGCAGCAAACTCTTCAGTGGTGAGCTTCAGAGACGATTCTTTTAGGTGTTGCTCGAGAGACGTGGAGCTGCCTGTATCGCATGCCATTGCCTAGGTGGTAATTAACTTCTACTTATTTCATAGAAAAAGACAAAGGAAAACGGGCTAACACTTCATCAACATTAGACCACAACACCAGTGTCTACCTAATCTTTAGTAAAGACAAACTAAACTGGCACACGTGCTGTGAGCTGAGTCGACGTTTGCTACTCGACTCCCTTCACTCAATTCAAAGTACCTCCGGAGCTCCTTCAAAAAACAATCATCCTGTCGGCCACGTGTTCGCGTCTTTTTTTACTTAGATCTTCGCAGAATTCTAGAACTGCATGCAGTGCGCGTGGTGCATGCCAGAAATAGAACCAGGGCCTAGGGTCAAGTAGGGACCGGTCGACCGGGAGTCATAAAAAAATATACATGTACAATTATAATACCGGGTACCGGGTACATGTAGATACTTTTTTACGACTCCGTAACGTTTGAATATTTACGATCATTTTAGTTTGCTCACCTTGATTCGGGTGCTATTGAGTATTGCATGAGTAGAGGATTCTCATACGAATGCACCCCTAAAGGGGAGTTGGGTATACTAAACCATGGAGGAACTCGAGCAGTTGGAGCGACTAGCTGTTGTGTCCAAAATCTGTACTGAGCTGGACAATCACTTGGGTATGAATGATAAAACCTTGGGTAAGTGAAAAATTACATAATATTGTTCTTCCAAGAAGGAGCTTCTAGAATCGATAGTTCTTCTTTGAACATAATATACTCCTACGCCCTGATTGGCGAAACAAACAAGTGATGAAAGTGACGAAAAGTAAAGGATCATGGATCATAATTTTTAAACAAGAGAGTGCGTGTGTGTGTGTGTGTGTGGTGTGTGTGTGTGTGTGTGTGTGTGTGTGTGTGTGTGTGTGTGTGTGTGTGTGTGTGTGTGTGTGCGAACCACTCAAACGACGAAAACCCAGATTTTGTTATAGCGGAGAATTTCGACAGCAAGATAAAACAACAAACGTTGACAAAAAGGCAACCGCTTATTTGTTTATGTATCCTTTTGTGCCGAAAAGCAGGGTAGAAGAAAATGGGCAAACATGAATGCCGAACGACGTGGACGAATAATAATACGGTAAATTAGAAACAAGGCCGGTCGAGGCAGCTCGAAGCATCATCATCATCATCATCATCATCATCATCATCTGCGTTGCCGAAAAAATAATAATAGTAAAATACTTTGGTCTTTCCATAACCTTGAACCTTCCAAGTTGGAAGGCTGTCGGTTAGCGCTACGGAGATGTGTTGAAGCTAGGTGTCAGGACGTCGAATGTCTCAGTACGCTGTCAGTTTTGTGCCTAGTTATTGCACTTTCTGACTGTATAAAGTATCATGTTACAGTGATGGAGAGTTACTCTTAAAGGGGAAGTCCGGTGAAAAATTTAAATTTCACAGTCCGTAGAGTTCGGGGCGCTGAGTCGAATGGTCTTTGTCCGAGGAGGCTGCGGCCTATGGTTCGTCAGATACGCCCAATCGAACATGTGCGGATTTGAGCGCGCCTCACCCAGATCCAGGTGATGACGTCACAGTGTGCAGCCAGGTGGCCACACCATCTAGCTGTGTACAAAAACGGTCATATTCGGAGCGCGTTCGATTGGGGAACCGTTTGTCGCAGCTTCTTCGGACCAAGACCATTCGATTCAGTGTTACAAACACTACGTACCCTGTGATTTTCAGCTCGGTAAACCTCGAGGTTATACCGTATTTTAGCCGTTTCCGAGTTGGACTTTTTCCGTCGACATGCACTGGCCTCTATCTACATGATCTACGGCTCTAGCAATGCGCTGCGTGCATGCTACCTGTAGTGTAGTCAACAAACTCATCACACATGGAACTACTCCCGCACTGCCATGCTGGGGTAGGTACAACAAGACTCGAGTCACAAGACTCAGAAAACTAGTCAACACACGGACTTGTCATGTACTACACTCGTATCAGTCGTGTAGTCAGAGAACGAGCGTTTCTCCTTGCCGGTGGTGGTTGTGCTTTGAGAAAGAAAATTTTAGTTTTCCGCTCCCGCCTCATTATTTTATGCTACAGCGATGAGTGCACAACCGTGACAAGTGACAAAACAGCGAACAGCTCCCGGACCTAGAACTTTCAGATCCCGTAGCGTTGCGAGCGAAGAGTCGTGCCCGTAGTTCAAAGAGCCTGCACTGTTCTCCAATTGAGTGTCCGAAATACGCCAAGTTCGCACCAAAACATCACCATGTGGCAGGTTACTGGAGTCTAAGCGAATCGGTATGGAACAACATTTAGTCTTAGAGCACTCGCATCACTCTTCTCCATTTTGGCGACTCTGCTCTCCAGCGAGCTGATAATTATATCAGCTTCGTCTGCAATAGCTGCTGCTTCTTCATCAGTCGGAAACTCAGTAGCGCTCACTCTTGACCGGCCCGCGCGGCCATTTCTTCAGCTGAATACCGAGGTTCTCAGCCCCAGACCGAACTCATGAAGGTCAGCCATGGGCCATGGCTGCATCCTCACTCTCACAAGGAGTTACGTCTTCGGAGTCGCTTGCACCACCTACTATGGGTCGCCAAATCATTTGAAATAGCACTGACACTATTGGCAGTATTGCTTTCATGCACTCCTTTGGCTTTTGACCTAGCTGCACGCTATGACGTTGCGGAGGGTGTGGCGCGGCCGCATGACGTCATGGCGCAGCCCCCGAAACTCAGTTTTTCAAACGGAAATATCTCGAGAACGCTTTGTCGGGGACATGTGAGACCAACACCATTCGACTCAGCGGCCGAAACTCTACCAACCCTGAAATTTTAATTTTTCACCGGACTTCCCCTTTAACTCGTCTACATAGTGTCTTTTTCCTTTCTACAATAGTAAAATAAAAAATAATAATAATAAACGGCATTATGCAGCTGTGTAAGCAGTAGATGCACAGTGTGACTGCCAGGCATCTCTGTTAGATGCCAACTGGCAATTCTCATGCAGAGACATACCAGTCCACGAAACGATATTGTCAGCAAAGGAAACCTTCGGACGAAGCTCGAAGCATGGTGAATGCTAAATGCCGCTGTCTGCTGATCGCTGAAATGCGTGAAACTTGAAGTTGCAGCTACACAGCCTTTCGCCTCCGTTGCATATGTAGTACAGTAAATAATTTACTAAATTATGCATCATCATGAGTAGGGTACAGTAAGTTCTGAGGTCCAGCACTTAGGGAAATCACTGTGCTGTACATCGACGAGCGTGGGACACCAGTAGGGAAATAAAGCGAGGGGAGCTTGTGAATGTGCGTACGTGTGAAACTGATGGAATTGAGAGAGGGCCGCCGCAAGCGAGCGAATGGTTTTCGAAAGTTCACACAGTTCACTTCTCCAGTGTTATTTTAAACATCTATGTTGTCATGAAAATAGTCTACATAACCGAGAGACAAAACAAAGAAAAGAAGGAAACCTCTGAACATTTTCAATGGCATAACACTTTCCTTCTGTACAGACACACTAGCCAGTTGTTGTGCTTTCTCATCAAGTGACGTACAAGCAACTACAATGCAGAACCAATGAAATGTTTGGATAAATTTTAAATAGCACCATATGGGTGCTATTAAACCATTGTAGCTACCGTATTAAATAAGCACGGTCCTTTATTTTTTCAATGTACCTCCGCCCCGTGCTATTGTTGGAGACGTTCCTTTATTGGAGACTGTTCCATTATTATTTCAACCTCATTTCAGAGGCATGTTGCCATGCCAAATTCATGTCAGACACACACATTTCAGGTTTTTTTGCCGGTACAGATAATGAATTTACACAGTGTGCTTGTAACGGAGACTGAGCACTTTATTTTTTGAGTGCCGCCCCAAGGTGTTCTATTATTGGAGACGTGCTATTATTGGAGACTGTGCTTATATTAGAGATAATACGGTAAGTGATAAACTGGTCTCACCACAGATTGCAATCTCTCCTCCTTCCTTCAAGAAAGATCTGTGTCAATTGAAGAAGAAGGCATTCCTAGCTCGGTGGAACGTACTGTACAGCGAGTGCCTTGTGTGCGATCTGTGCGCAGTTGTACGCCTATTCGTGACAAAATGAACATGCGGGCAATGTTTTAACTGCATTGGCAGTCCGTGTCCGTATGTTATCAGTTCAGCCGGTATTCGTCCAGACCCGGAGCATCGCTGTGATTGAGACGATTAATTCATTGCGGTGTGTATGTCTGTAAGATTTTGTTGTTGTCGTCGTCGTCGTCGTCGTCGTCGTCGTTGTTGTTGTTGTTGTTGTTGTTGTTGTTGTTGTTGTTGTTGTTGTTGTTGTTGTTGTTGTTGTTGTTGATGATGATGGGAGATGTTCTTGGTTTTCAGTTGTTTTTGCTAGATGTTCGTCTGGAATGACTGCTATAATTTGTATAATGACCTGAGTGTCCAATTACTATGTTTGTTCTGCATGCAGCGGAGTTCATTGTTATGCTTGCTGAGAAATCTGGCACAGAAGAGAAATTCAAGTCTGCACTACAGGATAATGGAGCTGAGTTTCCAGTAAGTTATGGATGTCATGAAATACTTTGAAACTGCGCTGTCATTGAAATTGTCAACAGTTATGCTACGGACTGGGAGTCTCATGCAGATGAAGGCTTGCTGGTAGGTCTGTATGTATGGTTATGGCTTGCTATTTCACACGAAAAATCTGGATGGATGGGGAGAATTGGGTCACCCGGCATGTGTTACACTGTTATCCAAGTCTTTGCTGTAAACCTGGTCTGATTTTAATTAGACCAGGTTTACAGCAAAGACTTGGAGGTTTCACCGGTTGGCAAGGAAGCCGAATAAGCCAGGTCTGGCTGGGCAGTGACTCATTGGGTCAACAACAGGGCTAACATGTATGGTACTTCCATTTCTTTATTATAGCCACTCTCAACTTTGTGACCAGTCAAACGATGCCACGTGTCTGGCTCAGCACTATTGGTCCACAGCCAGTTTTCAACGATTTGCATTGCTTTTGTCGCTGTCAAGTATTCTTTCCAGTGTCATACCTCCTTTTATGCATGCCTCCAGCCTACAGATTTGCTATGCTAACATTTCACGGGTGAATCTTGTTCTGTACTTCTTGTTTTTGTGCACATGCAGGATTTCTTAGTGCACAGCCTAATGCGCCTTGTGCAGTCTATGCTCCCGGGCAGTTTTAATAAGAAAGGTATGACTTCACTCCTTTATCGTGTGTATAGCACTCCCTGGCTGAAGTGAATGTATTTGTGCCCATTGTTTTGTGCTCTCTATCTTTCTGTCCATATATCTATCTTTCTACGCAAAAGGCACAACGGAGGTTTACAGAGTTAGTCGCAACTCCGAGTTTCTTGCACAATCCAATCGTCAGGCGACTTGTGCCATTTTCATACTTTCTTTCTATCTACTGAGTACCTCTCTTGGAAAACTTGCTGTGTTTTTTTTGTGTTGCAATTAGAGCACTCTGGCTTTGATGCTTTGAGCCAGTTTAAAAACGCTTTGTTGTTCGCTGGACCTCATTGCGATCGGTTTGGCCGGTGTGCTTGGCCAGTGTGACTGGCCGAACCGGTCGCAATGCGGTCTAGAGAATTGGAAGCATTTTTTTAAATCGATTCAAAGCATCAAAGTCAGAGTGCTCCAGCTGTGAGAAACACGGCGAACTTTGCTCGGAGGTAGATTACCGATGCGCAATCTATCTGTCTATTTTTCTTTTCTTTCTTGCCCGCAGTCAGTGAATGGGATGATCCTCCAGAGGAAGAAACAGAATTGGACAAGAAGAAGAAAAAGTTTCCCGGCCTTGCAATCCCTGACGATGATAATAAAGCAAAGGTATTGAATGATTTGCGTTATATAGTTGTTGCTTACTCTTGGAAAGCAAGAGTGTACACCTCACCAGAATGTGCAACTCCGTGTAAGCCTTCATCACAACTCATTGGCATCCCGTCGTGATGTGATGCACCTGACTATGCACCAGGCCGCCATGGCTAGCGCTATCAAACTCGCATCTCGAATGCATACAATTGCATACAGCTGAGCCGCACTGCACGTGCTGTCAACTACATATCACTGATCTTATAGTTGTCAGTAATAGTCAGTGAAATCATGTAGTCACTGATCTTATTGTTGTTACTCTTTCTCCTCTGCACAGGCTCTCTTAACAGATGATTTGACCGTCGTTGATGACGCAATGGCATTCTTAGAAGCGCAGCTTGCCGAAGGAGTGCCGGACATGCCAGAGCCCGAGGCGGCCAGTCCACCACCGGAGAAGGACGGCCGTCATCGACACGGCAGGTCTAGAAGTCGTGATCGGGAACGCCGTCATCGCCGCTCTAGATCACGCAGTCGTGAGCGACGCCGCAGCTACGACAGACACGGTCACCGCCACCGGTCATCAAGCCGGGATCGGGATCGACATCATCGGCGACATCGCTCGCGTAGTCGCAGTCCCGATCGCCGTGGTAGTGCTGGTGGTGGTGGTGGTGGTGGCAGGCGAAGTCGTTGGGATTCGGATCACGGTGGTAGCCACCGGCACCGTTCAAGAAGCCCGCAGCAGCACGGCCGAGGCGGTGGAACCAGTCACGTTCGTGCCGCACCGGCCGCTGCCGCAGAGCTGTTCCATGTGAGTTGTGTGTATGTGTGTGTGTGTGCGTGCATGCGTGTGTGTGTGTGTGTGTGTGTGTGTGTGTGTGTGTGTGTGTGCGCGCGCATGCGCGCGTTTGTGTGTGTGTGCGCATGTGTATACGTGTGTGTACGTGTGTGTGCCTATACCTGTACATGTATGTCATTCACTCCAATCCAGTTGTATTGGTGGGATTTAGTGCTTGTAGCTGTAGACTGAGCGGAACAATATGTGTGCGTGGAGCTGCTGCTGCTGCTGTCATTGTTGCCATTGTTGGTGGTGTTGTATTCCTTCATTTGTGTGTGTGTGTGTGTGTATTGCTTCTTGTTTGTTTGCGCCAGATATACGATGGTAAAGTGGCAAACATCATGCAGTTTGGCTGCTTTGTGCAGCTGGAAGGCTTAGCCAATCGTGTGGAAGGGCTCGTACATATTTCAGAGGTACGGTTGCCTCTTGCATGGGGAGGTTATGCTCATGTGAGAACGTGGGTGTAGAGTTTGCTTGGTTGAAGTAGTCTGTACACGAGGCGGGTTGGGGTATCATGTGTGTTGTGCCATTGCAACAGCACAATGGGCATTGCATGACGCCCATTCCTGCCTCTGATCGCTACATGGTGCACCTATGCTTCACGCCTTACAGCTGCTTTAGCTTATGTTACAAGATAGACTTGTTGGCTTGCACGTTGAAGTTGTAACATATTGGTTATGCCATCATCTATCCTGGTACGTGTACTGCCATCTCTTGCGGGTACTTCAAGAACACTGCGAAAAGATTCTGTTGATCGGGTACACTGCCCTACAGTGCTCTTATTAATTTTGTTGCAGTCCCGTCCATGCACATGTATTCCTCATCTTCTTGTACAGTGAAACTTCAGTATAACGTACGCAGTGAAAAGTCACTTTTTTAGTTTGACAGCATATTACAAGGCGGTGGAACACTGTGTACGGAAACAGTGCCCCTTACTTGTGTTTCACCGCCTTGTAATATGCTGTCAAACTAAAAGCCTGTTTCTACAATACAAGGTTTATCTAGTATTAGTAAAAAGTCTGTACATGTACTTTAGCTCCAAGGTACAGTGCTGTATAGCAATATACAGTGTCCTGACTTATCGCCGCGAGTAGACTGTACATTATAGCACGCAGTATGGTATATCCAGGGTAGAGTACAATGCAGTATGGTATATCCAGGGTAGAGTACAATGCAGTATGGTATATCCAGGGTAGAGTACAATGCAGTATGGTATATCCAGGGTAGAGTACAATGCAGTATGGTATATCCAGGGTAGAGTACAATGCAGTATGGTATATCCAGGGTAGAGTACAATGCAGTATGGTATATCCAGGGTAGAGTACAATGCAGTATGGTATATCCAGGGTAGAGTACAATGCAGTATGGTATATCCAGGGTAGAGTACAATGCAGTATGGTATATCCAGGGTAGAGTACAATGCACAGTTTCACTGTTTACATGGCCCCAAGAGTGCAGGGCGTACCTTCTTCTCAACATCACGTCCTGCCATGCTGCTGTTCACCTCCGTCAGTGTACCTGCGTTGTGTAACACCGTCATGACGTATGCCTACTGCTGCTGCGTCTTCTTCTGCTTCTGCTGCTGCTGCTGCTGCTGTTCATCCCCCTTTTAATGTGCATGCGTTGTGTACTACCAGATTCGCAAGGAGGGCCGAGTAATGGACGTCAACGGTGTTGTCCAGCGCGGTCAACGTGTCAAAGTCAAGGTGCTGTCCATGATTGGCCAGAAAGTATCGCTCTCTATGAAGGTTAGTGACTGTGCATTGCTCTGTGGTCATTCAGAGATTCTCTGTTTGATGCTCCGTATATTTTCAATGATAAGGATCCTATGTGTGCCTGACATGCTTCTGGTAAAACTCTCCTTCTAGAGTCTGACTCGTGCACACATTTCAACCCAATCACTGGCTAGTTTACCCAGTAACTCTGATGCGGTGTATGAAGAAAATACTAATTGCACAGGGTAGCCTTGACAACAGGTCAAAGTTCTGAATACAAGTGCCAACTAGTCAACGCTGCAGAGGCTTACAATACATTGACACTGCATACACTACATACAATACATTGACACTACATACACACTACATGCACATTGATTAACAGACCGACGGCTGCTGCTCACCCTCGTATTACAGTCAGACCTCGCATAACCACACACATCCGTTTCCACAAAAAATATCCGGATAGGCGAGGGAACCGGATAATCGAACACACATACTGTATGTATGCATGGCATAGGCTGTTAATCGATAACCAACGATTTTCTTCCGGATGGCGAGGGATCCGGATAAAAGAGGACCGGATAAGCGAGGTCTGACTGTATCATTTATCAACCTAATCAGTGGAAGTAAAATCGTAGCGAATATTTTGAGTCTAGAGCTGAAACGATTATACCAATTACTCGGTAAGCGATCGATAATTCCTTATCAATCAAGGCCTAGCTTATGGAAACAGAGTAATTTTGCGCAAAATTCTGACACTATTTACTAACGATTATAATCGATTAATCGATCGTTAAGCTAAAGAGTAATCGATAGGTGAAAATTCACGATGGTTTCAGCACTAATTTTGACCTACAGAATATTGGCTTTGCTGTTGATATTCTTGTGCAGGATGTTGACCAAGAGACTGGTGAGGACCTGAACCCCGGCCGTGCCGAGATCCGGCGTCAGCTAGGCGGTGCTGGTGGTGGCGGTGAAGTGGAAGGTGCCAGCAGTAGCAATCCAGCAGCCGCCGGTGGAACAGCAGTGGCGGCTGGTGGTCGTATTGGCGGTACGGTGCCAGTCGTGGAGCAGCAGCGCTCGGGGAAAGGTGGTGTCGTGCGCGTCTCCTCGCCGGAACGCTGGGAGATCAATCAGCTGATCAAGGCCGGCGTCCTGGACAAGGCTGACTACCCGGAGTTTGATGAGGAGACCGGCATTCTGCCCAAGCTTGATCAGGCCGAAGGTGAGTGCCACAAGTAGGAATGCACGCACACAAACACGTACTGCACTAAAGACCCCCCCCCTCTCCCTCTCTCTCTCTCTCTCTCTCTCTCTTCTCTCTGTCTCTCTCTCTCTCTCTCTCTCTCTCTCTCTCTCTCTCTCTCTCTCTCTCTCTCTCTCTCTCTCTCTCTCTCTCTCTCTCTCTCTCTCTCTCTCTCTCTCTCTCTCTTAGTCTACTCCGACGTTTCATGCAATGAATGTGGCAAGCATCAGAAGACTATGCTTGGCTAAGGAGTATGCGTCCTTGGGACGAAGGCATGCTTCATTGCGTTTCGTATCTATTTTATGCAAGTGTATCAATAGTAGGGCTCCTGGTACTGGTACTTGTTGTATAGCAGTTATGCGGCTTCATGTCCCACTGCTTCATGTCCCACTGCTTCATGTCCCACTGCTTCATGTCCCACTGCGTCATGTGCCACTGCTTCATGTCCCACTGTTCTTTCTTGTGGATGTACAGACGTTGAGATTGAAATTGAGCTAAAAGAAGAAGAGCCACCCTTCCTTGTCGGTCAGACCAAGATGACTATGAGTATGAGTCCCGTGAAGATCGTCAAGAACCCCGATGGCTCTTTACAGCGATCGGCGCAGACACAGAGCGCCCTCTCCAAAGAGCGACGTGAGGTGCGGCAAGCGCAGCGCGAGGCCGAAGCCGGCCACTCCATCCCGAAGGACGTCGGAAAGCTGTACATTGATCCTATGCCGGAAGGTACGTGTACGCGGCTTGCACGTGACCATGTCTGTGTGGGTGTGTGAGGGGGGGGGGGGGGGGGGGGAGATCTCCTCCATGCTTTGCACATAGTAGTCAGTGATGTCTGATGATCAATTTGTGCATGGAACTCGGAGACACTGCGAAAAGACTGTTTTCTTTACCCTACTCTGTGTGTAGGAACTGGGTGCATGCTCATCATGTGGCATTCACAGTTGTTAATCCGTATTCTGTACGACTCCTTCCACACCTGTAACAAATACAATGTACTAGTGAAACTGGTATTTTTGTCATGACCATTTCTTACTTTGAAGACTCTGGCAACCACTCCTACTTTTATTCTTTAATCTAGGCGGAGTTGCGCAAATGGCTAACGACTTCAGAGGAGTAGCTATTGGTCAGCAGGAACTCCCGGAATGGAAGAAAGCTTCGTTTGGAGGTCAGAAGGCATCGTATGGTCGCAAGACTAAAATGTCTATCATCGAGCAGCGAGAGTCGTTGCCCATATACAAGCTAAAAACTGCACTGGTTGAGGTACAATTGAAGTGTTGATACAGTTATGTGTGCGTGTGTGTGTGGGCGTGGGTGTGGGTGGGTGTGTGGGTGTGTGTGTGGGTGGGTGTGTGCTTGTATGCGTGCATGCGTGGATTGTTTAGTATAGTTGAAGAATGTTCCATTGCGGTCGTTCTTTATTCAGTGAACTTGAGATTGGTGCTTGATTCGTGTGGAGCTAGCTCAATATGTGATAGAGTGCATGCACCCATAATATGGCGCAAGGAAGCAGAAGCCCTGGTGTCCGTTGTGTGTAGAATAGCATGACATGCAGTATTGTATGGGCTTGTTTTTGTTGTTGTTGTAATGTCCCCCTGAGCAGGCCGTCATGGAGCATCAAACACTGGTTGTTATTGGTGAGACGGGCAGTGGTAAAACAACGCAGATGACACAGTACCTCGCCGAGGCGGGCTTCACGGTCAGAGGGAAGATCGGCTGCACGCAGCCGCGTCGTGTGGCCGCAATGTCCGTTGCCAAGCGTGTCTCTGAGGAGTTTGGCTGCCGTTTGGGCCAGGAGGTGAGTCACGGGGACGTCAGTGGGAGCACTCCTTCTCTATCTCCTTGGATGTCGCCAGGTAGTCCAACCCATATGGTTCAGAGGTGGCCCATGAATGTTGAAAACTGAAGACATCCTTTACACAAGGCCTGATCAGACCCAATCAAAAACTGTATGTTGGTCAATCTTTGCAAACATCATATTCGATAACCATAGAAGCCAGCACTTCCAATGGTAGTAATATAGTATACTTGTCCAGCCTTGTTGAGTGTGTACTGTGGAATGGGCAACTTACCATCTCAGTGATACCGGTGTGTGTGTGTGTGTGTGTGTGTGTGTGTGTTTGTGTGTGTGTGTGTTTGTGTGTGTGTGTGTGTGTTTGTGTGTGTGTGTGTGTGTGTGTTTGAGTGTGTGTGTGTTTGTGTGTGTTTGTGTGTGTGTGTGTGTGTGTGTGTGTGTGTGTTTGTGTGTGTGTGTGTGTGTGTGTTTGTGTGTGTGTGTGCTGTTCATGAAAATGCAACTGAAGTCAAATTAATGATGGTGTTGCTTACAATAGGAAATCGTACCAAACTATAATAATCGTACCAAACTATAATAATCGTTCTGGGCTCCGCTCCCGACCAATACCTTCTGTGTTCTGTAACACTGTGTATGCTTTGTGCTGCCGTTTGTGACTTGCTGCATGCTCCCTAGGTGGGTTACACGATTCGTTTTGAAGACTGTACATGCCCGGAGACCGTGATTAAGTACATGACAGACGGTATGCTGCTTCGTGAGTGTCTGATCGACTCCGACTTGAACGGCTACTCCATCATCATGTTGGACGAGGCTCACGAGCGCACCATCCACACTGACGTGCTTTTCGGTCTGCTCAAGAAAGCGATCAGCAAGCGACCCGACCTGAAGCTGATCGTGACCTCGGCCACGCTGGACGCTGTCAAGTTTTCGCAGTACTTCAACGAGGCGCCCATCTTCACCATTCCCGGCAGGACGTTCCCCGTCGACATTCTCTACACCAAGGAGCCGGAGCCGGACTACCTGGACGCTGCCCTGATCACCGTCATGCAGATCCATCTCACCGAGCCGCCCGGCGACATTCTCGTCTTCCTCACCGGTCAGGAGGAAATCGACACTGGCTGCGAAATCCTCTACGAGCGTACTAAATCGCTGGGACCTGACGTCCCGGAGCTCATCATTTTGCCAGTATACAGTTCTCTGCCCAGCGAAATGCAGTCGAGAATTTTCGACCCTGCACCGCCCGGCAGTCGAAAGGTAATCGTGGCTACCAACATTGCCGAGACATCGTTGACGATTGACGGTATCTATTACGTAGTCGACCCTGGCTTTGTCAAGCAGAAGGTTTACTCGTCCAAGAACGGTATGGACGCACTGGTTGTCACACCTATCTCTCAGGTAAGAAACCAGTTTTAAGAACGTTTTGCTATTCATCGCTGATGAGACACTCATGAATTATTGGTCCTGGTGTGCTGTGAGCAGTGAATGTGTTGAGAACTGTTATGTAGCTAAAGAGCCGTTTCGGAGAAAGAAGTTTCAGCAAAGCAATGAATAAAACAATTGAAGCCGACATCATACCACGATGGACTACTAAAATATAAATATATGTGAAGTCGAAATCAGAAACGTTTTTCTTCGATGGGCATCAATGAACCTACATCGAAAAATGTTAATAATTTTTATATTGATGGGCGTACATGTGTGCGTGTGTGTGTGTGTGTGTGTGTGTGTGTGTGCGTGTGTGTGTGTGCGTGCGCGTGTACATTGTGTTCACAGGCTCAAGCCAAGCAGCGATCAGGTCGTGCCGGCCGCACCGGTCCAGGCAAGTGCTATCGCTTGTACACTGAGCGAGCGTATCGCGATGAAATGCTGTCCACGGCAGTCCCAGAGATCCAGCGTACTAACTTGGCCAGCACTTTGCTGTCGCTGAAGGCCATGGGTATCAACGATATCTTGGCTTTTGAGTTCATGGACCCGCCACCAATGGAGGTATGTAGGTGTGGTGGGCTGCTGCTTTTGCTTGTGCATGTGAGGGAAGATGCATATGTGTGTATGTGTGTGTGGGGGGGGGGGGGGGGGGGCATCAGCATTGGAAGGAAAGGGATTACACCGTCGCGCAAGAAATGGGGGATGCCCTCATCAAGGCCTTGTCGCAAAAGCAATAACTTGTGTTGGTCGTAAGTTACTTCATCAGGTTCTGGCACACGGGGTAAACTTCCCAGGGTTCCTCCTAGGTAGCAAATTCCACCCTGGATGCGGTGGACAACAAGCAATACAGGTTTGTCCGTGTATATCTCTTGCCGTGTTTCAACGAAGAAAACGGCATGAGGATGGTGTTTGTTTCTTGTTCCTATCTGCTCTCGTGTGCAGAGTTTGGTGACGGCCATGGAACAGTTGCATGCTCTCAGTGCGTTGGATGATGAAGGTCTTCTAACGCGTCTCGGTCGCCGCATGGCCGAATTCCCCCTGGAGCCCTATCTCAGCAAGATCCTCATTCAGTCGGTGCATTTGGGCTGCAGTGACGAAATCATGACAATCGTCTCCATGTTGTCTGTTCAGAATGTCTTCTATCGACCTAAGGTTAGTCCACTCTTTAGCCCATAATGCTTTCGTTTTGCTTACAAACAACTGATGGACCTTCCTCATGTTAGTATTATTATTATTATTATTATTATTATTATTATTATTTTGCTTGTTCGCGTTGGCATCAACCTGCATAAAGCAGGTATATAGCCTTCGCTTAAGCTGCCATAAAAAAGAAAGCTCATCCTAAGCGAGAGGGCTAGAGGAAAAGATAACGATAACGAGATACAGAATACAAAGAAATACAATGAGTTAAACATACGTATACAGTTCAAAACAAAACAGAGCAGAGCCGAAGTTACTAATCGGAGTGACAAATGCGTTGGTTCCGATTGATCCATCAATCGACAAAGGGACTAATCCGTTAATATTGCAAAGTAAAAACCGATTGCCGTTGCAGATCTCCAGGCCAGGGCCAGCCATGTTAGTACAGTGTAAAATTATTAATATGTGGGGGGTCAAACTTGGTTTGGAATAGAGAGTGTCAGTGTGTTAGGAGGCTGAAAGAGTACTGACAACACTGAATACATTTACATGTACATTTCACCCACTTTAGTGTTTTTTTCACACCTCACCTTGTATACTTCCCACTATCCTATAGACGTATAAGTAGTTTGTTTCTCCGCATAGCTTCTATTGTGAGACGATTTTTCCCTGATGATAGTCTCAAGAATCGATTAGGAACATCAATTTTAACATACATGTATTCTCATTGATCATTTCGTAATGTCCGCTTCGCTTATAAAGTTATACTATGTATCGCCTTAATAAAGTTATTGTCTCCTCGTCGCCTATTCATGTACATTTCAGTTCATGCCCATCGTACACAATGCCAAATGATTACTGATTGCTTTGGTCTTCTGCTGCTGTACACGTGTGTGTTGTAGGACAAGCAGTCGATAGCTGATCAGCGCAAGGCAAAGTTCCACCAGGCGGAAGGAGACCATCTGACCTTGCTGACCGTCTACAACGCCTGGAAGAACAACAAGTTCGCCGACGCCTGGTGCTTTGAGAACTTTGTGCAAGCGCGTACGCTGAAGCGCGCCCAGGACGTGCGCAAGCAGATGCTGGGAATCATGGACCGTCACAAGCTGGACGTGGTCTCGTGTGGCAAGAACACGGTGCGTGTGCAGAAGGCTATCTGCTCTGGGTTCTTCCGCAACACGGCGAAGAAGGACCCGCAGGAAGGCTATCGGACTCTGGCCGACAACCAGACCGTCTTCCTGCATCCCAGCAGCTGTCTCTACCAGCGGCAACCGGACTGGTAAGGTGTTGTATTCGTTCCTGTTGCCGGTACTGTGTTGCTTACACCTCACACAGTGTACCTCAGTGTGTACTGGTGTCACTGAAGCCTGCACGCCGCTCGGATGTTGGGCTGCTAGTACTAGTTTTGATAGTTTGCTGCTTTTTTTGCTATTCAGAGTACTCTAATTTCAGAAATTTTAGGTGCTCAATTTTTACGGTATGAGGGCAAAAGGCCAGGTTAGGTGAACAGAAATTTTAGGTACGGAGAAGCAGTTCCCTATTGGACTATGTGCGTTAGTGTTTGTTTGGTGTATTGACATTTTAGGTATGAAACATATGCACCGAAAGTACCGAAAATAAAAGTACACCGAGAATTTGTGAAATTGCAGTACAGTCAACTTCGCTAATAACGACAATTCGCGAATAACGACAGAATTTCCATGCCCAGAGCAAAGTCCCATCTAACTGTAAAACATAAAATGAGACTTCTTCGGGTATAAGGACACTTCGCGAATAGCGACAATTTTCTGATGCCCCGCCGAGTGTCGTTATACGGGTAGTTGACAGTACTTGCAAGCAACCTAACAGTTATGCTTGTATCATATAAGGACAACATGTAACAACACACAGTAGGACATGTTGCTACCTTCATAACATGTTATCTGTACATGTTTTGTCTGCGTGTCTCTTTGGATGTAGTCCAGTGTCAAGTGTGAGGTGAAACTTGCCTGTCGTCATTATGATCTTCACAGAGTTATCAGAGAGGTTCTCAGTGACTTCTCACGTTATTGCAATAAACAGAGTAAGGTATTGAACCCAGGGTTCATATGCGTTGGCATTTGTTGAACCTTAGTCTCATTGTCTGTATCTCTGTTACTCTGCTCGTTGCTCTCAGGGTTATCTACCACGAGTTAGTGCAGACAACAAAGGAGTACATGCGTGAAGTTATTGCAGTAGATCCACGCTGGCTGGTCGAGTTTGCCCCGGCTTTCTTCCAGTTTGCCGACCCAACCAAGCTGAGCAAGCGCAAGCGGCAGGAGAGAATCGAACCTCTGTACAGCAGGTATGTGCCTAGCCCTCCCACGTATCCCCTTGTAATGTCTAGTTTCGTATGCCAAAGAAGTTTTTCAACCAGCAATTCTATTCTAAATGTCTTGTCAATAGTTATCATCCTGCACAGAAATACTATACGAGAACCTGTGCCGTGCTGCCACTGTTCTGGACCTGTCCAACTTCATTCGACCCCGTTCACATCAACACACGTTCAATAGAAAGACGGTATTGCTGATAATTGCGTATGACATTAACAGTACAGCAGTACAGCATATCGTATTCGTTGTACGTAACACTGAAGCTTGTGTGACTGGTCAGTGACATCGAAATGCATGCATCTTGGAATTCCATTCTGTTCTTCTCACTCCCTAATCTATCGGTGATCATAGTGATATGGGTGTTCTTTTCACTTCCTTCCGTCTTTTCTTTGCAGGTACGAGGAGCCGAACTCGTGGAGAATATCTCGAGCGCTGCGCCGCAAGAAGTAACGTGGGTCCGGCGGCAGTTTGGTGTCAACAGTCAGTACTCGTTCCTCTGTACATATGTCCTGCTCCTTTCTTTCTTTTCTTTTTAACTTTTCATGCTAGCCATTCTTGACCTTTCTGGTCCGGTGTAAATATTGATCATTTATTTCAAAACGTGCCTGACCTGTCCTATTGGCTCATGAAATACGTAATCATGAAACACATGCAATCTCTTTTATGCTTTAGTACTTCGAAGAATGTCTTGTGTCAAGGAATATTTTTGTTTTGAAAAACACTGTTGAGTGACCTGATGTCATGAAAGGTGTCCCGCTTGGGGAAACTAATGAAGTTGCCTGAACTGAATGCGTCTAAATTGTGGTGAACATGTATAAATCTCTGAATAATTGAAGATTTATGTTGCACCTGCCTTTGCGCTGTGTGATTGCGCAAAATCACGAGGAAGTAAAACGGTTGACATCGAATTTTTTGTACAGATGGTGCCAGTGCAGTGTGGGGTTGCTGCCGAAAAAAAACGACCAGTAGTACTAAAGCGAGCAATACATACTTCATATCAGGGAGTCGTAAAATACCGTGGTATTTTACGACTCCCTGCTTCATATCCTTGACCTACTGAAAAAGAACACAGTTCTCATTTACTTGTAATGTCGTCCATGAACCAGAGTATGCAACTGTGATCTCTTTTCTTTGCGCCAGATGTGCGGCACGCTGCCTTCATTACAATGTAACGATGTCATCATGCCGCAACATGTCATAAAGCACTGCGGAAAATCAAACACCACTCTCCCTGTGCTTTGATACCAACTTTCCTTAATTTTAAAGGAACTGAAGTTCAAGCACCTAAAGTTTAGAGTTTGCGTCGGGGAGTCGTATTTTAAGTATTATAAATATTTTTTACGACTCCCTGGGTTGCGTCTACTTGAACGAATCAAGCAAAACCGGATGTACTCGTACAAGAGATTGCGGGTTTTGGTTGATCTGAATGTTCTTGGCATTGACTGATCACAAACGTGAAGAATGCGAGATTTTTTGGTGTAGTGTGTGAATAGGAGTACATGTGCAGTTTGTAACCCCCACCCGCCATAAGCTAGTTCAGTCGGCACAAGTCTATACAGCCTGTTCCTGTTGGCATGATACCATCGCAACTTTTTTTTTCCACACTCCTGTCTGCCTTCTCTCTGGCAACACTAGTATATAGGCGGTGGGTGGGTTTACTGAAAGCTGGCTATTACCCCCTGTTACATTACTGCCCTCGAAATAAACAAAAAGAGAGTTGGTTCGGTTCTGTTGTTGCAGTTCTATTTGAATATGAAACGAATAAAATTCTGTCAACGAGCCTACCTATTTATTATACCAAGAGACCCCTGGGCCGGGTTATGTACTCTTGATTATATTCATACCTAATTTTAAAAAGTAAAGCGATGATAAAAAATAAATAATAATAATGCTACAAAAAGTGTAGATTGAAGGTAACTTAAAACTGCAGGAAGACTAACACCCACCAGTAAATAGATACCGGTAGTTCTAAAGCAATGATTTCTCAAACAGGGAGGGCGTAGAACTCCTAACATAACGTGCACTAAACGCGTGTAGCCGGCTACCGACGAAGCATTGATCTCTGCTGATATCAATCCCAATGGCATAGGCCCTCCTAGAAAGTCAGGTCCACAGTCCTCTGTCGCCAGCAACTCGGGAAATGCAGCTAGAAACGACATGGGCTGGGTGTAGTTATCGCCGTCACTATCATCGATGTGATGTGCAATCAGTTGTAATAACTTATGGTGGCTGAGCAGTGCACCACTCACATGATGAACACTAACCGACCAGCTTTCTGCACCTTGGCTTGAGTTACATCACACCCAATGCTCAGGCAACCAGAGAGTGGAAGTAAACAGGTGGGTCTACGTAATTATAGTCTATAGTTCAGTGCTGGCAAGGACACGGTGAGCAGTGACCTCATCTCCTGATCCGATCACCGGTGACATGATGGCAATGATGATGATGACGACGACGGCAATGGCGGTGGTGGGATCTTTGCGTACGTTGAAACTATACTGTGTCCACGGTCTCAGCTGCAGTGTAAGACAAAAAGTCCAAACACACCGGCATACAGTCAGCATCATCGATGCTCAACAGGGAACATAGCACTTGTACATTGTACTACACACAAGGCTAAAGAGGAACACTCTGCTGTATGTGCACATACAGCAAGTTACCAGAACAATGACCCACCTGTACACTTACCATTTGTCATGTTGGAGTCTATCTTGGAGAGGTCGGTTTTCTCCAAGTCTACAGCTCTGTCTGCACCGGGGAACTCGCTCGTCCTCTTGCTGATCTGCTCTCTTGTCATTTCCTACAAGCACGACATCACCACACACGTAGAGTGATACAGGATTATAAAACCATGTGTACAAGCTGCCCCCCCCCCCCCCCCATCAGATTGGTAAAATCCTGCACAATATTTGAAATCCTGACAGCGTGTTTGTGCATTCTATGATCGCCCCTACACCCAGCACACATGTATCACATGCCTAACGCTGCGTGTTGGCAAGCCAACAATGATGCATAGGTACTCAGCAGTCACTTGTTCAGTATACGGCTGATTGGTAGCACAAGATCCTCGAGTTTCAGGGGGCATACATCCAGCGCAAAGCTGTGCTTGATAACAAGAATATGAACATAGTGCCATCGAAACAATCAGGTCCTGCGCTTACTTCAGTTCTGTCATGAAGCAGGCCAGGGACAAGCGCATTTGGTCTTGTGACCGCGTAGCTCCGAGCGCCATCTCCTACAGTACAGTCAGACCTTGCTTATCCGGTCCTCTTTTATCCGGATCCCTCGCCATCCGCAAGAAAATCGTTGGTTACCGATTTACGGCATACGCATACATACAGTATGTGTGTTCGATTATCCGGTTCCCTCCCTCGTTCCCTCGCCTATCCGGATAATTTTGTGGAAAACGGATGTGTGCGGTTGTGCGAGGTCTGGCTGTACTACTAGTATCCTGGAGAAGGGGTGTACTTCTCTGGCCCCCGGCTGTACTTCAAACATCTACAACAAGTATACACCGGTACAAAGTAGTGATCAAAAACGGGTTTCTTCAAACAATACAACATGGAAAGAAGGAAGAACACCAAAGACACAAGGGATGAAGTAGTACTTACAGCTGTCTTTGTCATCAGTTCATTCACAATCTCCAGGAGCAAGGTAAGGAAAGCCAGGCCAACAAAGATCCAGATCATCAGCAAAATCTTGTACAGATTTCGGTTAGTGTCGGACTCCTGTCCGGGCACAAAATCGCCAAAGCCTATCGTCGACAGCGTGATGAATGCGCAGTACAGACTCTGACCATACGTCCAATCTTCAACCACATCGAATATCACTGCCGGGATCAGCATGAAAATGACAACTCCAAAGCAGGCTACAAATAGGGGTGCTGTAGTCCGTGAGTAGACCGGGTTCTCAGGCAAGCGGCGGAGTAGGCAATCGCGTATCGAATTGAACTTGTCCTTGAGACTCTCAGCGAGTTTGACAAGCAGATAACCAGTCAGCGGAATACCAATCAATGCAAACACACAGCAGAACGCCTGACCACCAGCGGTTACCGGAGAAATTTGGCCATAGCCTAGTGTGACAGAGAACACACACACACACACACGCAGACACACACACACAGACACACACTCGCTTGATCGGTTCATTGAGCAGCATTTTACTTCATACAAGTTGATGTGATTTTTATCTTCAATTTTTTTAAACCACATACATCATGCACATGCATGCACTGTATTATTAAAGTCTACAAATTTTCGGCACTTTTAAATTTCGGCCTCCCAGGGCTAAAACACATTTCAACCGCTTTACAACTTCAGCCTGTACTGCTGCTTGCTGCCTGTTTACACTGTCACACTGAACCTTGCAAAACAAAATTTCAGCCGCAACACATTTTCAGCCGAAATAGCCGAAAATAAATACCGTAAAGTTGTGTATAAAGGCCGCGGCTTATACGACTTTTTGGGGGAATTTTTGCAGGCTTCTATACAAGACAGATATTTCTATGTACAATGGACTTCGCGTATAACGACACTTGACCGGGCATCAGAAAAGTGTCGTTATTCGTGAAGTGTCCGTATACCCGAAGTCTCAAAATATATGTATTACAGTTAGATGGGACTTCGCTCTGGGCATGGAAATTCTGTCGTTATTCGCGAATTGTCGTTATATCCGCAGTCGTTATTAGCGAAGTTGACTGTATGTCAACACTAAAACCAGGCTTATGTGCCGACAGTGTATCTTGAAAATCAGGCTTCTATTCAAGGCAGGCTTCTATAATCTACATGCATGACTGAACGCTGTACTGCAGATCCACATGCATGAGATTGAGCACTGTCTTACCAATGGTTGTGACCACAGTAAGAGCGAAAAAGAACGAGGGTGCGAAGGACCAGTTCTCCACGTCCGAATTAGCAACCGTGGAAAGTCTACGCAATGAACTAGTAAAGTTAGCAAGCTGCTCCGGTGGAATTCTCGTTGAGTTGATAAACTCAGCCAGGACACGTTGATACTCTTCTCTTTGAGATACTTCATTGCTCGATTCCAGTTCCTGGAAGACTGCGGCTCCAATCAACAAGTAGACAATTAGAACTAATGAAATCAACCAAATCTGCCGGCGACGAGTCCATTTAATGTTGGTTATCCTGGACATGTTACTCTTTTGAGTTGGTATCCACTCAAATAAATACTATGAATCAAATTGACTATGTCTCCAACAAGATTTCTTCAGACAATTCTCAGCAATGGTGACGTGCAGAAGTGATACCAAGGCCAAGTAGATATTCACAGATGATGCTTTCTACAGAAGAGATCCGCTGTCCCTCTGCGATCTGACTGTAATTAGCTAGACGCCCATTACATCCGTCATATCAGGTTGAATTCAACTTCAAGAAGGTTACGGCCTTTTGAAAACACACCGTCACCGGTATTTTTTGTTATCTATTCTTCCAGAATCCTCGGCCTTGTAATCTGATCAGCTTTTATTAGGGCCTGGTCAGACTGCGGCAAATTTTGGTTGCCTGTCGAAAAAAGAACAGCGTCAAGAATTTGAATCGCGATCACACTACACAGTACACCTGGTACACATGTGGGGAGAGTGAAAATTCAAACTAATTACTTCATTTCGAGCGTCAAGTGGTAATCTCCACGAACGACGTCAAATTCTTTCACCTTGCATGGGATCGCCAACCAACACCTTACAGTTTTTTTTTTTTTTTTTTGATGGACTATTACAAATATCCACAGGCGCTAGAACTTGCTTATTTATTTTTCTTATTTTCGCACTAAATTATTATTTTTGGCTACGTGTTCTGCTTTCGTTTCGCGTGGACATATAAAAATATGTATACGATAGAGAAAGAACTACTGAAGAGCAACCAACTGGTTTCAGCATTCTCCTTCAAAGGATAGGTCGGTGGCAGAGGACCAAAGCCGGACAATAGTTGGAAATTCTCAGCGTTGAATTTCTACAGGCTGTAGATATACCTGGAAAAGCTCGATTTTCCGCCACGGAAAATAAACAAGTCTTGATTTGGGGTGCTGGCGCTTCTTCTAGTAACACCCGAAAGCGCTAAATACAAAATCAAGAAATTTTCAGTAAATTTTTCGGTAGCGATGATTTTTGTGCGATCAATCGTTGTAGGAAACGTCTTCTCGCTTTTCTGCAATTCTGGCGACCTAGCTAGAACCTGCTGCTAGTGTCCCTCTTCACTCGTTCTTTCTATGAAAGGGGAAGGCAGCACTCGCAGAAGATTTTCCAAGAATGCAATGTCGACTGGTGCTCGTACTATAAGAAGGGAGAAATCAAAGTCCGCTCTTGAATCACGCCTGAGTCTTAGAAAATTATTTCAGAATACGCTTGTGTAGATTTCCTGCCAGTGCCACTGACATTTCGCGACCTTCAAATATAACTTGCTCGATCATCTCCCGCACTGACTGGTAAATTCGTCGGGTAGCTGTGGATGGATCGATTCAGGGAGGTCGAAGGTAAATACATCGAAGCACTTCAAACACGTTTCAAGACGCACTTCAAATTTTGTAATTGTGTCTTGAAAATTGTTTACAACAATTCGTACTTCAATACGCTGTTGAATTGTATCCTCTGTGTAGTAGACCTGGTAGACGGACTTCCCCCTACACAAATCACTATGATTGTATTACTATGTAGCGTAGTAGACGGACTTCCCCCTACACAAATCACTATGTATTACTATGTATTGCACTATGCATTGCTGACACCATCAGATCCCTTGCTTTCATTCGCTAGCTAGCGCTCGGAGCTGTAACTGGCAATCTCGTACCATATATATAGATCCGTGTGTCAGTTGCCCAGCTCAGTTGTTGCAGAGTCCTTGCCTCCGTTGTTTCTGTCGTCTTCCCTTCACTTATTGAGTCTTTCAATATACTATAAGTAATTCTGTGTCACCTACGTTTGTCGTTCCGTGTGTGCAATATTGTTCCCTGAGAATACTACCTGTGTTTTGCCGGAGAGACTGAACCAGTTTTGCCTTGTCACTCGGTCGCGTATTACATTTGGTGGCAGCGGTGTTAGCTCTGCGTTCGTCAGTCGCAGTATTCCGGACCACGCCTCGTTATTTCGCCGTGCAGTGAACGTTGCCGTTGCCGTTCTCGTCTCAACTCAAGCTGAGTAACTTTGTTCCGTGCCAATTTACGATTTTAATATTTACATTTTTGTAGTGCTAGTCTTTTCTAGGCTTACTTTGTTGGATCTATTCGTAGTCTTGTCCCCTAAGTAAGCTAGCTCTTCGTTGCCAGTTTTTCTTGCACTGCTCGCCGTACTTGAACTGTTGCTATAGCGTAGGCTTAGTCCTCAAACGCGTCCCGTGTTGCTTGCGAAGTCCTATAGGCCTACTTGTTTGTTTGTTATCCTTATATACAAGACACCGAAAATGGCACAGAATCCTCAAGCTGCTGCTGCCGCTGCCGCTGCTGCTCCCGCTGCACCAGCTCTGGCTCCGGGTCAGGTTCCGGCTCCTCGACAGGCACCACTTGCTCGGCCGGTAGTTGTACCGCCGACGTTTGGGGGTGCCAGCCAAGACGATTGGCACTGCTTCATCGCCAGGTTCGACGCAGCGTGCGTGGTAAATGGGTACCGGGATGCGGAAAGGCTGCAGTTTTTACCTTGTTGTTTCAAGGAGAGTGCTTTTACAACTTACCAGACCATTCTGGCGGCGCACCCGCAGTATACGTATGTAGAAATGTGCACCGAATTAGGGCTACGGTTCGCACCGCCACAGCAAAGTCGCCTCCTTGAGGCCGAGTTTCGAGCTCGCCTGAAACGATCCACTGAGTCCCAGGCCGAGTTCGCCGCAGCTCTTCAGCGCCTTGCGGCACGCGCGCCTTTCCAGGTCAACAGGGTCCGCTGTTAGATCGCCTGACGCTCAATCAATTTATTGACGGCCAGGTCAATAGTGACCTGCGCTTGCACATCAGGACATCCAGCCCTGCAGCCCTCGATGCCGCCGTTCGACGGGCGTACGAAGTTGCAGCGATCTTAGAGGTCGAGAATCGCCGCAGTCTTCCGGTTCCTACACCAGCCTGCGCTGCCCTGACCGCCTCTATGCCTCAGGCACACTCCGTAGGTCCACTCGCGGATCCGACTCCTACGTCCAGTGCCACCGTGGCCCACGTAGCTCCGAGTTCGACTTCGAGCTCCACCGACCCGCTCGTACTATCGTTGTTGAGCAAAATTTCGGACCAGCTAGCTGATCTACAGGTCTTCTCCGCAACCTCCGCTCCGTCGCCACGGGCGTATAGTGACGACACTCGAGCTCCACGCGGCCGTGGTCACAGCGTCTTCCCTCGAAGCGCGCCCATGTCGGGCCCAACTCGATTTCCTGGCAGCTCGAATCGTAACCCGCCTCCGTACAACGGCGCAGGCCGCGGACTTTACGATGGCGCGCGTGATCGCGGGTGCTTCACGTGTGGCGATCAGTCCCACTTCCGTCGTGATTGTCCCCACTCGACGCGTGGGGGTCGTCCGTCGGGAAACCGCTATTGACTGGTGCTGCTCGGCAAGCTCCAGTCTTCGATACTAGTGTTCCTAGCTCGACTGTGCCGACTTGTACTGGTTGTGAATGTCGTCCCTGTTATTGTACTGTTGATGTGCGTTGCCCTACGTCTGCACCTGTGACTGTGTGTCCTGTTACGCATGTTCAGTCGTCTTCTGCAGTTTCTCCGTCTGTCTATGTTGCGGTTAGTCTCCAAGAGACGAAATGCCATGCTCTTGTTGACACTGGGTCTAGTGTTTCCCTTGTGTCTACTGCATTGTGGCGTAGTCTGTGCACGACCTCCTCTGTCCCTGTGTCTGCTGCTCCTGTTGTGTCTGGTGTGACGGGCCGTCCCCTCTCCACTACGGGTACCGTGTCCCTCTCTGTTTGTACACCCTCGTTCGTAGCTGTTCAGAATTTTATCGTTGCTGCTGATATCACGTCTGATGTAATCCTCGGTGCTGACTTCCTACAGCAGCACAATGTCCTGCTTGATTTCTCCCGGGCTCAGTTGGTCCTGGATGATGTTAAATTGCCGCTTGTACCCCTTCCACGTGTGCGTTCGCTTTCTGCTGCTGTTGCTGCCGCGCCCACACCAGCCCATGTTACGACTGTCGTGCCCGACCTGAGTGCTCCGACTGTTCCTGCTGCCGTCGCTGCCTCCGTACCTGCTGCCGTCCCTGCCTCCGTGCTTGCTGCTGCTGCTCCGCCTGCTGCTGCTGCCAATGCTGTTGAATCTCTGGTGTCTCGTGTTGCTTCCTCGTTCCGTGTGTGCATCACACAGTCTGTTTCAGTTCCGCCCTGTCATGAAGTTATTCTTCCGGTTGCCCCGTCGGTATGTGCTGCTGGCTCTCCTGCTGCTGATACTTCGTATCTAATCGAGCCCCTTGATTCGTTCTCAGAGAAACACCCGACATTGGATGTCGGAACGTCTGTCACGTCCCCGGATAACTTGGTTATCAATGTGGTTAACCGTGGTACCACCCAGATTACCTTGCATGCAAATACTCATATTGCTGTATGTGAACCTGTCCCTGAGTGTGCTGACACTTGTGCTGCTGTTGATGATTCGCCGTTCATGCCGCCGCCGCCTGTCCCAGTAGAGAAGATTGATGCGTATATCGAAAAGAATTGTTGTCACCTGTCACCAACGGACCGTTCTACCTTGCGTGACCTTCTCCTGCAGTACCACGATGTATTTGCTCTTCATCCCGACGACCATGGGTACTGTGATCTTGCGCCACATAAGATAGACACAGGTGATCATTCGCCTATTAAACAACAACCTTACCGTGTTCCATTCCGTCATCGTGAGCAGCTCCAGAATATTATCAATGACCTTCTGCAGAAAGGTGTCATTATTCCCTCTGCGAGCCCGTGGGCTTCGCCTGTTGTCCTCGTGCCTAAGAAAGATGGCTCTCTGCGTCTCTGTGTTGACTATCGCCGGCTCAACAAGATCACCACAGCTGATGCTTATCCTCTTCCTCGGGTCGACGATACCCTAGACGCGTTCTCTGGCTCTAAGGTATTCTCGACACTTGACCTTGCTAGTGGCTACTGGCAAATCGCAATCCACCCTCAAGACCAAGCTAAAACAGCCTTCGTGACGCCCCTTGGGTTGTACGAGTTCACGGTTCTTCCTATGGGTTGCTGCAATGGGCCTGCCACATTTCAGCGCTTAATGCAAACGATCCTAAATAATCTCCTTACCAGTCCTGATCCCGTCTGCCGTGTGTTTTTTGATGACATTGGCCTTGGGTCAGCCACTGTTAGTCTTGGCTTGGATGGCCTCCGGTCCGTTTTCACGTGTCTTCGTCGGTACAATCTCAAGCTTCGGCTTGAGAAATGCGCTTTCCTGCAGCCCCGCACTAAGTTCCTTGGTGTGGACATCAGTGCCGATGGCCTTCACACCTCAGCTTCGAAGGTTCACGATATTGTTCACTGGCGTACGCCGACATCCGTTCGTGAAGTGCGTGGTTTTCTCGGCCTCGCTGGGTATTACCGGAAATTTGTTCCGCACTTCGCGCAAGCTGCCGCCCCACTGGCCGCACTCACTAAGAAAAATGCGAAGTTTTCCTGGAGTCCTGCTTGTCAGGCTGCTTTCTGTGTACTAAAA